CTGCATTTTCTCTGCGTTAGCATGCTTATCAGTCGTAAATCATTCTCGTCTTCTTATTCAGTTTCTAACGTGTTGCATTTCGGCCGTGTGTGCTTTCAACTCCTAATGGAATATTCAGTTCGAGTTACCGCGTTGAAACAACCGATTTCTCCGGAAATCGAACGCGATCTTGATTGTTTCTTGTATTATGTATCAATGTTGACATGTTGTACTGCAGCACCTTGCTCGAATTAATGAACGGCCGAAGTACACCACGGATTGGTAACATTGAAAATTTCAACATATGTCACAGTGAAAATTACTGTCTAATTTGGTTTCATTACAGATAATATATCAGTGATATTATGTAAGGTTTACTAAATAAGTAAACAACACTTGATTAATATGTAAAATATTGGTAATATTTATATAAATATTTATAAAGAAAAATATAATTCTTGAAAATGCAATCCTACTGAATTAAATGCTCGAGTATTCAACGTGATAACGAGTGGAAGCGTGAACTGAATCATTGATCTAAAAGCTATTATTTATTCTTATAGTTAATGGCCTCTGCAATACCTGGTCACGCCATTGTCGTGTATGTACGCGAATACGTATTTGCTTTGGTAATTTAGGGCATCAAGATAGGTGACAGTAATTTTCTGTGATCACGTTGATTGTCACAGTGAAAACGAGCGTGTAGAGCGCGACACATTATAATGAGAATTATTAATACGTTGATTGGCATAAGGGTCACTGGTGACTGACCTCCCAAATTGAATAATTAGAAATAGAAGAGATAAAACACACTTTAAATAGCGTTAGTACTATAATGATGGTAGGAACTTATATTTGAAAATTAATTGATTTTATCTTCTCGAAAATCGTTTAGTCAAATATTCACGAATAACAAAAGAAAATTTTACATACTTATGAAGATTACTGTAGCAATTTAAAATCACTAATTAGCCCATGACTGGACTGTAATCGTTGGCATTAAAACGTCTATTAATAGAATTCCACTCGACTAATAATTATTGGCTTTAAACCGATTTGAAAATCTATAAAATGCAGTATTGTTGGAAAAATTAACTCAGTAGTGTTTTACATGTTACAGAAACTACAATGCCGATCGATTTTTATCAACTTCCCGGAAGTGCTCCGTGCCGCGGAGTTGCCTTGACGGCAGCTGCGCTTGGAGTCGAAATGAAGTTCAAAACCGTGGATCTAATGACCGGTGCCCACTTGAAACCAGAATTCGTAAAGGTCGAATATCCGCGAAATTGCAATCTTAATTAATTATTACAATGAAAACATTTATAATCAATATTTTTGGTTACAGATGAATCCTCAACATACTATACCAACTATTGATGACAATGGATTCTACTTGTGGGAAAGGTAAGACCCGGTCTCCGAAATGTTTTATAAAGTTAAATTAATGAATGCTTATGAATTGTAATGATAACGTGATAATAAGGTGATGATATCTATTGAACTTTACCGCAATGTCAAAATACCGATAAGAATATTCCGAATTTTGGAATAGGACGTAAATAGACCTTACGTAAACAGCATTTACGGACAGCAGGAGTAGTGCTTATGCTGATATAATATCTTTGGAATGTATTGACACACCATGACTTGGATAATCTGAGACAGTACATTTTACTAATAGTAACACATCACTCTATATATATTATATAACACCTTTGACTTTCCATTTTTTGATTTATTAATTTTGAAATCCATAAAATTAAAACTTTGTCTTGTAATTTAAAAAATCGAAATAGAAATTTTGTTACAAATTTTCTAGACAAGAAATTGATAAGGGGTTTGTAAATTTGAACTATTAGCAAAATAGAAATCTCATGTAAAGAGAATAAATAAGAAATTATAGAAAGTTCTGACTGAATTGTAAAACTACAGGAAGTATCAACCTACACTTACGAAAGCAATTTCATTGATTTTCCGTTAACAATGGGATAGAATTCCCATAGTTTAGCAATCGTTGATTATTGAGATACCGAGTTGAGACTTTCTCGATTCAAGTTGCGCCGTTAGAACGTGTCGTAACAACGATTGCGAAGGATGTAAATAGAAATCAGTATATTCTATGCTTGCTCTTTTCCTCGTAGCCGTGCCATTATTACATACTTGGCGGATCAGTATGGCAAAAACGATTCCCTCTACCCAAAGGATATAAAGAAACGTGCGAAAGTTAATCAACAACTATATTTCGACGCATGTACCCTATACAAAGCTTTGTCTGATTATTACGTGAGTATGAAATTGATTTTAAAGAAAAAGAAATTTTCAAAAATGGTCATTTTCACAAATGGTTCATTTGTTTTCTAAGCAACATTAGATTCACTAAATTGAAATTAATTGTGACGTATTAGAATTGAATAGAAATAGTTACTATTTATTAATTATTATTATTTTATTGCAGTATCCTATGATATTTAATAAAGCACCCAAGGACCAAGCTAAATACGAAAGCATAGGCACTGCTCTTTCGTTTATGGAAAAAATGCTTGAAGGACAAAACTATGTGGCAGGAAATAATCTGACAGTTGCTGATTTGAGCATTGTATCAACTGTATCCACCATGGAGGTAATACTTTTTATACGAAACTAATTCAACTTTAACGGTCATTAATGGAAAGAATATTCGGTAAATGTGTATACATAATTAGGGTCCCAACGAGAAATCAATTGAAAAGAGGTAAATTCTATGTATTTTTGCCCCTCGAATCCAAAACTGTTGATAAAATTTGGAGGTCCCTTGTGTTTTTTAAGATACATCGTTAGGTTATCAGAGAAAATATAACTTATCTCACGGCAAAAACTTGACTAGTCAACAATAATCTCCTTGAAAAGAATAACTTCAAAGTATGAATTTAAACGAAGTGTTAAAAGTGGTACGTGGTTAGCCAATTTTAATCTTGATATCACGACGATTTCCCGCTTTATTGGATATTTTCTCATGACGCGTCCTCCGCGCTGTGCACTCTATGAACAGGAATTAGAACTGAGCAAGGAGAATATTGTTGACCGGTCAAGTTTTTGCTGTGAGGTAAGTTATATTTTTTCTGATAACCTAACCTATGTAGGTTAGTGAAGCGATTTAAAAGTATTGTCTACCCCACAAAGTCATTATTTTACCACAATAGCTTAGTAAATACAAGCGACCCCCAAATTTTATCAACAGTTTGGGATTCAGGGGGCAAAAATACATTGGGGCCCTAATTGTAGACATTTACCGAATATTCTAACTAATAGGATTACTACTACATGGAATTCCTACGCAATTTGAATTGGAAAATAAAATAACCTTATTCTGAGTACTTACAATTGTAGTTCGTAGTAGTGTACAGTTTCCAAGGAGAATGACAATGGTGGGAAGGAGGCCCAACATACAGGATTTCGACTACGGGTTGGCATCCTTCGAGGGGATGGTAGCCAAGAAGATTGTAAACCACTTTTTCCTTTACCACAATACTCATTAAAGCTTAGTTTTTAAATTATTAATGAAAAACATTGACTAAACAAAACACGTGCAGAGCGCATGCTCAATCGCGAAAGAGTTGGCTACGAAAACCACACTCGACGAAGGTCGCGAACAAACTACCCAGCACGTCGCGTCGGTTCGTACCCTACACTGCTACGGCCGAGCATGCGCACTGTGCGCGCTTTAATTACTCCATGTTTTTCATTAATAATTCAAAAACTAAGCCTTATTGAGCATTTTGGTAAAGGAAAAACTTGGTCAGAATCACCCCCGTTACCACCCCCTCAAAGGGTGCCCCCAATACTGATGTTATATATTAAATTTTATGAAATTTCACAATTAAAAATTATATTAATTTTTTTTTTTTGAAATCTCTTTTATATTGATATCGTCAAAATTAAGGTTTTGAGAATTTCTGCTTCCTCTCTAATGCCATTTAGGATGACAGCAATGCACATTCAATTAGTTGTTTGCATTCTTATCTTATGACTTTTGATAAAACCTTAATACTTTAATTTGTTTATCGAAGTATTTTCCAGGCATATCTCCGTAATTTACCGTCGACCTACATTTAGAAAGATATTTAAAAAGATACTACATAAAATAGAAAAACAGACAATAAAAATTAAAATGCTTCAAAAGCAAAACACCTAACAATTTAAAATTTAAAGGAACAAGACTTACAATATATTAGTTTCTCAATTCAATTTAGAATTTCCAATTAATTTATCCTAATGTTCTCAGTCTCCATTACATTCACGTAATATACGTAGAACGTAACTAGAGTGGTCGTGTAATTTCACCGTAACAAATTAAACAATACATTTCTATTTGACTTAACACATTGTTTCCCATATGACCCACTGGTGGGACTTGAATTTCTAGCACGAACCAACATTCAGAATAATTCGCGATAGTAGTCCACGAACGACCAACTGCTAGATTATGAATTCAAAAATATCAATATATTATTCATAAACGTTAAACCAAGAATGCCAAATATTAGGAAGAATGCATTGGAAATGTGAAAAGTATAAAATACTGATATATAAAAACTTAGGAATTGGAACTTCTATCAAGTATCAAAAATAAATTATTTTTGCACAGGTTTTGGGGTACGACCTCAGCAAGTTCAAGAATGTTAGCAAGTGGTTGGCGAAGATGAAATCAGAAGCACCAAAATATGAAGAATTCAACCACAAGGGTGTACTAGCATTCAAAGCACTCGCAGATAGCATGTTGAAGAAATGAGAAGCTAAATGATGCATTTATTATAAATTAAACAATATATATTGTACCATTAATTTGATATTCAATTTTGTTTTACATAAAGAATAATTTTAAAATAAAATGAAATGATAAGTAGAAGAATTTGTGGAGACATTTTCTATTTAATAATAATTTCAATTTTATTTGCTAGTCTGGAAAATCTAAAAATATCTCATATCTAGCTGTTTGCAAAGGAAGTTTGTCGACCTCTGTGACGTCCAAAGAGACACCATTGAACCAACACCTAAATTCCCCGTGATTGCGTTACGCAACCACCTGAGACACCATAAATCTCTCTTGTAACGGAAGGTTCTTCGTTTTATGATAAATGAGAACCGACCGAGACAGAAATCCAGGTGCAACGGCCTCACGTGTACCTGGCCGACGATTATTAATGCGATACACAATCGCGTAAGCGTAGAATGAAAGCGACCTACTCGATTAGAACTTTAAATACAGCCTCAAATATACAACGAAGCTTGTCGTGTGTTTATTCATTTCGCGTACACTTTGATGCACATTTCTTCAACGACGGCTCTATCGCTCATCGTGGCTCACGCGACCGATATGAACAACCTCCACCATTAACCCACAGTGCACTTTGCCAAATTCGCGCTTCCGGTGACAGCGTGGAAAGCTGTCGAAAGGATGCATTATAGAAATTACCGCCAGACGTGGAATAACATTTAACAATCCACATATAATCTTCTTTTATCATTTCTCAACATTTCTTCTTCACTGCAGTGAAGAAAGAAATATTGAATACTAATTTATGTGAACTAAGTATTGGTATGTTTAATTTAAAATAAATATACTTTGCAAAATTTTGTGTTTTTGGTAGAAAGTTATAATGCCAAAAATTCATAGCTCATTACTTTTTTTGCAAATATTTTGATTCGAGCTTCTAAATTGTTTTCTTTTTTTTTATATAAAATTTTGAAAGTATAATTGATTTTTAGTCACAGAAACAGTAATTTTCTTTTTATCGATTACACTATATATTACAGCTTCTACTACAGGTATTTGGCTAGCTTTTCCCAGCTATTCTATAGACGTATCGAGTGAATCGTCACGCAGACCACGTTCAGTTCTCCCTAACAAACGGAACGGTGCATATTTGCATTTTTTTGCTCTCTCGTGAGGAATTGTAATCGTAAGTGATCAATTTAATGGCTGTTGCTATACCCATGTTATTATGGAGAGTGATCATTAGGTGATAAATAGATAAAGTTCTCGATCCATTAACCTATTTTACTGTCTTTGAGAAATTAGAAAATATATAAATTGAAAATTTTTCAATCTGTCTCGCGAAATAAGAAATATTGTTTCGTAAATTATTTTCAGTGGATACAAGTTTCAATTCGGGAAGAATAAAATTCGTTCTTCTTCCTTGTTTCCTTTCTGACGGTGTATTGTCAATGAATTTTTAACAAGACAGTAGACCCTTCGTTTCATGTTGAGAACGAAGAATCTGACGTTGTTCTCCTGTTTCTTTAAGCCCTTTTAAGGGATGGATTTGACTTGCCGGTGAAAATGGAACGTTTCGGTAGTAAATAAAACGAAACCATGCGGATAGCTATTGGAATCGTTCAACAGTTATAAAGGGAACGTGCTACGATATGCAATAAATGCGGAGGAAAATACACACACTGGTTTTGTGACTCCATGAATATTGATTCTGTCAGCAGTATTGATTCCATGTAAAATTGTTACGAACGAAAGTAGAACTGTTCAACGAGCGATGTTTCATGATATATTTGAATTCTTTTGAAGTACTGTCTCAAAATTTTAGGAACATTACTTTTCTGGTAAAATAGTGTTGAATATGAGAGATGTGAAAGAATTTTTAACCACACACTTTCGCGGAAAATGAAGTCAAATATATGGACTTTGAATACAATTTCAATTGAAGAATTTAATTGCTCCAATTTTTATAGAAAAAATATTGGTAACACTATTAGAAAGTCCATAGTTATAATCCATAGCTAAGAAAAATATTTACAATTTTTACATGAATTTATTAAAAAATCCTACTATAAAAATTTAAATTTATAATTTTAGTTGATTGACCACTATGTCGGTGGATTTATATTATGCACCATTGAGTTCACCATGTAGGGCAGTTCTATTAACAGCTGAGGCTATTGGATTTTCCTTGAACTTGAAAGAGCTTGATATTTTTGCTGGTGAACATCAAACGCCAGAATATGAAGAGGTAAGCAGTCTAAAAGTGACTTACGTTTTCCGTTCCTTGGAAATTTTGACAGAACTCATTTGTTCTTTCGAATTTCATTTGAACGGAAATGTTATAAACCGGTATAAGCATGAACTACCTAAGTTGTGTGAGTTAAGTAAATTAGGATTTACGAAAAACCTCCGTAATTAATCAACATCAAAGCTGTGTTCGCTCAGTTCCATTTAATCCGACAGCAGTTTTGCTTAATGGATTCATTCGTTTCGATACAAAACTACTAGTACGATTTATGAGAACCAATTGTACGTAAAATGTATATTTTCTTTTTTTCTTTACAGTTGAATCCACAAAAAACGGTGCCGTTTCTATTGGATGGCGATTATAAGCTGACCGAAAGGTTTAAAATTGATAAATATGAATTTTAAACGTTTTCAAAGGATTCTGTTTAAAAAAGGATTATAGATTTATTTGATTTTGTGTTTCATTGTTTGCAGTCGAGCTATTATGTCATATCTGGTCGATCAATATGGTAAAAATGATAGACTAAATCCCCACACACCTAATGAACGAGCTTTGGTCAATCAAAGACTACATTTTGATATTGGAACTCTGTACAAAGCAGTAAAGTATTATTATGTTAGTATCTAAAATTAAGAATGTTCTGGTATACTACGTTAGACCTTATTTTTACATTTGGAAATATTAATTGCAGCAAGCTCCAATATATTCCGAAAAATTATATTAAGTCTATTAGGGTTCGAAGATTTTTTGCTGCTATAATTTAAATATATTCTACTGATAAATATTGTGAACTATCAATGACCTATTTGTCATAGAATATATTGGAAAACCGGAAAAATTGCTAGATTATCCTATTGATTAAATTTGTTATAGTACCCAGTTGTCTTCAGAAAAATGGATTACGATCCAGAACAATACAAAGAATTGCAAAATGCATTCGAGGTCCTAGATAAGTTATTAGAAGGAAACGATTATGCAACAGGACGTAATATGACCATCGCTGATCTTGCTTTAGTTGCAACTGTATCCACAGCAGAGGTATCTATCTAGAAAATAGATTAGAATAAAAATTACTTAACTTAGATAGTTGATAAATTTTTGGATCGTAGACTTTCGATTTTGAAGTTGGAAACTATCCAAACGTTGCCAAATGGTTGGAGAGGACCAAGTCGTCGGCGCCAGGATATCGAAAAGCCAATGGCGAAGGTCTAAAGTTGATGAGGATGATGTTTGAAGACCTGAAAGAGAAATAATTTGTTAGAATAAAATTACAAGCTGTGTCGTAATAAATTAATATTTATTTAATTTAAAAAATCCAACTAGAAACGATGTCCCTTTCGATTACTTCCTTATTTTGAGTCACCCTGTATGGAAATGTACAGAAGACCCTATTTGTTAGAAATTCAAGATGTAGTAGACATCTAGTGGAGTATAAGAACTTGAAGAGAAACACGTTGCTCGATCTATGATACCAGGGGCGCCACACCGGAATTCCATCCCTTCTTGTCACATCCTACTATACCAACCCCTGTTGGCATTCTATCATAGGGATCTTATTGTTAGTGTCAGGAATTAACGTTACAAATGTTTATTATTTTAAACAGTGGAACTTTCATGCAAAAATAAATAAAAATAAATAATTTTTAAATCACCCTATTCCTAAAATTAATTTTGTAAAATCATTTATCACACTTCCCTTCTTCTAATTCCAAGAAATATTAACTGTTTGTTGTTTGCTTTTTATTATAATAAAATCGTGTTTGTAGTATATGATATCTTTTATATGCGTTTAATAAAGATTAACAATTATGAAATTATGTATCTGCTGGATCGATTGAACCTTGTTTCAATAAAGTGAAATACGACATCGCTGTGCTCATGATCTGTAAAAAAGGAACGAGTAATTAAATTTTCATACTATCGTCCAACAGCTACGTTAATTGATTGTTATTACCCTAGTGTATGTTTCGAGCGATACAGCAAAAAATTGACAGGCAGTCACTTGGCAGGCTTTTCTCGATCTCATGATGACAATTTGCAAATCTTTCCGTATAATTTTCCCAAACTTGTCCATTGGCAGGTATATCCATGGTGCTTCGTACGCTGCTACAGCAACCCTTAAACTTTCTCGTGTCATGGTGTCACAACTGTAAGTGAACATCCACAACTGACACATATTTGCTGATAAGAAGAATATTATAGAAATGCGCATTGGAACATTTAAATCCACCTGCAGAATATAATATTACAGGTGTATAAAAAATAATTTTCTCAGAAAGGGTGAATTTCATAGTGAAACCAACACTTTTTCGTACCCCTTAAACATTTAAAAAAGACATACACTCATTTAATCATTAAATAAAACACTCAATTTTTTAAATAAGGCTTTATAATTATAAACCAAAATATTGATCTCACGATTGAGATATCAAATAAAAATTTAAGCAAAAATATTTGGAAAAAGTGGTACTTGTAATATTTAACATCTATACTGACCAAAAATAATTGATACCCTGCCAAACACACCAGCATGCTAAAAGTTAACACTTGCAAGAGCATAATCACTCTGAACACTTCATCCACTATTTTACAGAATTCGATGAGAATTTGATGCTGTCGAATGCATTCCCTAAATGCGGCTACACATACGTCCGATAAATATAACACATCCTTATTCGAATTTTCATTATCTTCATACAGGTTTTTCACTTTGTGAATATTTGTCATTCTGTACTGCAATATACGAAATTGTCCAGCTGCATGCAGACACATGATGGAAAAGATATTGTCGAAACAGAGATAACTTACTCCAGATTGGTACAAACTCAATGCCTATGAGAAGATAAAGTAAAATTAATCTTATAACGAATTCTCATCGCAGTAAATTTTCTATGAAACGGGAGTTCTTTTCGTTTACTAAGATTTCAAATGACTCGGAAGCTATCTCTAACATACGATACTTTGACATTACTTTGGAAATTAGAGTACTAGTGTTTTAGTTTCAAAGTAACTCCCGTTAGAGAATTTCAATTAACTTTGACCCCTGTGGAAGCAACCGGATATCCGGGCAACCATTGAAGCTTTAATATTTAAAACTTCTTTTTAAATGTGAATCGCCACGAGTGAGATTAAAAGATTTATTACAATATTTTCATAAGAAAATAAAGAAACTATTATCAAAAATAGGCAATACCTGTATGACGTACGTTATTTCAAAATATGGCGTCTTGGACAATGGTAAATCGAGCCACATAGGAAAAATAAGCGCCCTATCTGATTCATTCTTTCCAACATTTGCTAAAATAAAATTGTATACAAGTTATTTCATTGGAAGTTGAAGATCTGATTGTAAGAATTAAAAAATTGCGTCCTCACATATAGCTGGCCTGATACAATAACTGACAACCGTAAATTGTGAGAAGAATGAAAACGTACAGACGAGGTAAGTGCACATTTTCTTAACGCTAGCGACGATTCGCTTTTCATAGAAATCATAGTTCGAATGCCAGAAATTCTTTTGCATAAACCGGATCAATTGAAGAAATTTTTTCTTTTGAATGAACACTAAAAACAACTTGGAGAAATTCATGACTAAGCCCACGGCATTGCATGCGATAAAAGTGCTGATCTGCAATACATGTTACGACTTCTTAGTACAATAAATAATATTAATACAGTACACAATGTTTTTAAAAATCAAAAATTACTGAAAATTTGTATAAAACGATTAAAGAAAAATTTCAAATCACTTACGGTAAAATCAGCCCAACAAAAATAAAGACCTCTGATCTGAATTCCGAGACAAAATAGGACCGTGAAGGCGGTATAAATCACCGCAACACTCCTGAAACATTCCCTCACGCGATTCACTGCAAACCAGAAGCCAGTGATCTTCAGATAAAAAGTTGTCAAGCCGATAGAAACGTCTGTGGTGTATTTCAGTCTCATGATGAGGAGTACGAACAAGTACACTAGTTACAGACTTATATATGTACTTACATATGTACCGTATCTTCAATTATCGAACGTAATCGATATATTATTGCATGTCTTTCATCAGACAATTAACGTTTATTCGTAGAACTTATACTTGGTACCGGCACATAATGTATTAAAAAAGAATAAAAGGAAAAAGATACGTGGCATTGTACTACACTGGTGACAGACTACTTTGTGAGGAATGTTTTATGCATGATTCGGATTGCTAGATTACTGAACTCTCCATGTACTAAATAGTAGCCACGAGTTGGACGTATCTTTAGAGTAGAAATTTGGAATTGGAAAAATGATTGAGATATTTTTTATGCTAATGAAAGAGGAATATGATTTTTCGAAGTTATGTGTTTTGTTGAAGTGACTGGGTGAAGTAGAACTACCAAGGTTTGTAGCACTTTAGGTTTCTTACAGTGCACACGGTCTTCTAACACCTTCGCTGCCAGGTTAAACGAGAGCACTAAAATATTAGCAATAATATAAAATAGCAACTTGAAGAATTATATTAAAGGATTAATGTCTAATATCTTCAGTAACTCGTTTTATCTTGTGTCTGACTATATACGGACATTTCTACTGTGGCAGACAACATCAGTGGTTTATTCAACTTACAGTTCAATGGTTTGTATTATATTGCCAATAATCATATTATTATATAATTGTGGTGTATATAAGGAGAAGAGATAATCAAAATCGTAAGTACCCGTGACAATTATGTATGCTAGACATCAGTGTGCTACACAAACATTACCATTTTCTTTCTAATATTATAGTATTATAATATTATATATTTATCAGATAGTAATTATCACAGAATTATGCATCGTTCATTGTACTTTGTCTCAATAACGTAAAGTACGACATCGATGTGGTGATTATCTGTAATACACAAAGCGAAGAAGTACTTCCTAAAATATTTAATTAGTAGGATAGATAAACACATATCATTGTTAAATTTTCTAAGGTAATCTAGGAATCTAAAGTAAAATGTAAAGTTACATGAAATGGAAGGGTATAAGCAACATCGGTTTACGTAGAATTAATTCTTAATTAATTAATTTCCAAAATAATTACCTTGGTGTATGTTTCAAGGGATATAGGAAAGAATCGAAAGGCAGTGACGTGACAGGCTCGTGACGACATCATGATGACAAGCTGCAGATCTTTTCGTAGCATTTTTCCGAACTTATCCATGGACAGACGTGTCCATGGTGATGCATACATTGCTAGAGTAACACCGACACTTTCTTGGGTGATAGCAGCGCAACTGTATGTGAACATCCACAATTGCAACATATTCGACACTAACAAAGATGAAAACGAAATGCGCATTGAAAGATTCAAAGTCACCTGTAAAACATGATATTATTACTTAGTTCTACAAAAAATTGTAATTGGATCTGCTTTTCTAAGACATAAAAAGAAAAACTCTTAACAGGTTTTTGGGATATATACTAACCAAAAATAATTGATATCCAACCAAACACACCAATATGCTAAATATTAACACTTGCAAAAGCATAATCACTCTGAACACTTCATCCATCAATTTGCAGAATTCAATGAGGGCTTGATGTTGTCGAATGCAATCTTTTAACGTTGCTAAGCATATATCCGACAAATATAACATATTCTGATTTAGATCTTTAATATCTTGATGAGCGTTCGTCGCTTTGTGGATGTTGGTCATTCTGTACTGTAATATACGAAATTGACCAGATACGTGTAGACACATGATGCAGAGGATATTATCGAAACAGAGATAACTCATAACAGACTGGAACAAAGTGAAAGTCTACGAACAGAGAAAATTAAATATTTGTAGATGGGATTCATTATGTAGAATGCAAACAATTTTTATCTTTGTAATATTAAATTATCAGTACCTGTACGACGTACTCTATTTCAAAATACGGCGTGTCATTCCATGGCTCATCTAACCACATAGGAAAAATGAGCACCCTCTCTGATGAATTTCTTCCAATATTTACTAAAAAATAAAATTGCACACAATTTACTATTCGTTAGAAAAAGTCTAATTAAGTGATATTTTGAAAACTAAGTACTTACTTATGGCTGGCCTCAGAATGAGACAAAGAAGCGAAACTTCGGAGAAAAATGAAAAGAAGCACACAAAGAAAATGCACTTCGTCTTCACATCGGTAAGGATTTGTTCCTCATCGATATTATAATTAGAATGCCAGAAATTCGTCTGCATAAATCTGATCAATTGAAAAAATTTCTTTTTCTGAATGAACACTAAAAATAATTTGAAGAGACTCATGAGTAAGCCCACAATACTGCACGCGATAGAAGTACTGATCTGTAATCATAAATATTACTTGACTTGATGAAAAATATTCGAAATAATTCTGAATGTTTCACACACAAAAGTGACAGAAATTTAATATCACTTACGGTAGGATCTTCCCAACAAAAGTAAAGACTTCTGAACTGAAGCCATATGGTGAAGATGATCGCGACAAAGGAATAAATTACCACAGAATTTCTGAAACATCCCTCTGTACGATTAACTGCAAACCATACACCCGTAATCTTCAGATAGAAGATGGCTGAAGTAATAGAAATGTCTGTGGTGTGTTTCAACCCCATAATGAAAAATTCGAACGATCGAATGCACTCGTTTCAAACTTATATACGTGCACGTTGCACAAATTATAAAAATGCAACGAATGCAATCAATACAATGTCGTATGTCTTTCATCTATACATTCTCAATTATACTTCGTTTGTACTTGCTCTCAATACTATTATGTAGGAAAAAAAGATGAAGGAACAAATTTCATGCCATTATGTTACATTTGTAATAATCATGCTGGAGGTAGGGTTCGTGATCTATGATTTATGCATGATCCAAGCTACGGTATTGCAGAATTCTCAATGTACTAAATAGAAGCTACATGCCGGATAGATCTTTGTAAAATAGAAGTTTAGTATTAAAAAATAATTGCGACGACTGTTATGCTAATGAAAGGGGAATACCGTTTTTTGAAACAAAGTGCTTTGCTGGTAGGGTACTTGTTCTACAGTAAAATGTGATAGTTCAAAGTGAAGCACTACTTCGAGGATTTGTTATTCTTCAGGTTTCTTAGAGCTATGTTGCATACTGTGTTTGGACATATTCATTACCGTAATAGTTATCGGCGAGAACACCGGGAATTTAATTCATTTAAATAATTAAAAAATGGATACACCAGGATTCATCTCATCGTATGTCTGTTCATATATGAATATTTCTACGTATGATAATTGGAATGCACCATATGAATGTACCGTATTTTATTCATTTTGTTAGACATTGATATAGTATACAAATTGTTTTTTCTGTTGTTATATTAAAGTCATATTGCTCTTAAATGTAAGAGAATTGTATTTCTTTTCCACGGTATTTTAACACGTATTTATTCGTTGTTAATGTTTATAAAATTATGTATCTGCTGCATCGATTGTCCTTTGTTTCAATAACGTAAAATATGACATTGAGGTGCTCATTATCTGTAAGATAAAAAGTAAATTGAAATTAAATTGGTAAATATACAAGGTGCATTCCTTAACAAATGAATTAATTGAATGTCATTACACTCGTATATGTTTCAAGGGAAATGGGAAAGAATCGACATGCAGTCACATGACAGCCTCGTCTCGATCTCATGATGACGAGTTGCAAATCTTTTCTAATCATTTTTCCATATTTGTCCGTTGGCAGGTGTGTCCATGGTGCACCATACACCGCTACAGCAACATTGAAACTTTCACGGGTCATAGCGTCGCAGCTGTATGTGAACATCCACAATTGACACATGTTCGCTGATAAGAAAGAAGTTAAAGTAACACGCATGGAAGGATTCAAATCCACCTGCAGAATATAGAATTAATACAGGTATAACAATGTTTCAACCATTTGTCTGAACAAATAGTAAATTATTTGTTCAATAATAAAAATTAATCAAAGCATATATACAAGATGTAAAAAATAAGTCAAATGAAGATATTTATATACTGACCAAAAATATTTGATATCCGACCAAGCACACTAACATGCTAAACATTATCACTTGTCCGAGTACAATAACACTAAACACTTCTTCAAGTAACGTGCAGAATTCAATGAGAGCTTGATGTTGTCGAATGCAATTCCTAAATGCTATAAAACATTCGTCCGAGAAATATGATACATCCTTGCTCAAATCATTTTGATTATTATTTCTTACTATGTGGATATTTGTCATTTTATATTGTAATACGCGAAACTGACCAGCTGCATGCAGACACATAATGCAAAATATATTGTCGAAACAAAGGTATGCCACGTCAGATTGATACAAGCTCAAGGCCTATGAATACACAAAAATCAAACTATTAATTTATGATAAATTTGCCATTCGACTTTTTTTAAATAATCATAAAAAGTCATATAATTATAATGAAAGTTTCATTCAGAAGTGGATATTTTAATAGTTAATGAAAAAGAAAGCAATTTGCATTAATATTTGCTTTTCAAGTATACTAATAAAAAAATTTGTTACACCTGCAGCAAGTATGTTATTTCAAAGTATGGAGTCGTGGATAATGGCAGATCGAGCCACATTTGAAATATAAGCACCCTGTCTGATGCATTTCTTCCAATATTTACTGCAACCAAATCATAAAGAATTTATCTTTCATTAAAAATCAAGTTGAAAAGTGGAAAATGAATATTTACCTACAGCAGGTCTTATAGTATAACAAAACAATGTAAACTGCGAGAAAAATGAAAACACGCAGACAAAATACATGCACGTTCGCTTTGCACTATCGAAGATCTGCTTCTCCTGGAGATCATAGTTCGAATGCCAGAAATTATTCTGCATAAGCTCGATCAATCGAAAAAACTTTTCCTTCTGAACGAACAGTAAACCAAACTTGACCATATTTATGGCTAAACCCAAGGAATTGCATCCAATGTAAGTGCATATCTGTAATTACAACAAAAGCTGCAACATTCATTCTTAAATTCAAAGTATAAAAGTTTAAAAATGAAAAAATTACGTATCTCAGGAGGTCGACGCGTAAAATTCTGTATAATTAAATAATTAATAAAGGAAAAGAAGTAAAAAACTTTAAACCGAGAGCTAAAATTTAAAAATTAATTTACTCACGGTAAAATCACCCCAGCAGAAGTAAAGACCCCTCATCTGGATCCACAGACAAAAAAGTACCATCACGATGGTATAAATCATCATGAAGCTTCTGATACATTCTTCTACGCGATTAGCAGCGAACCAGAAGCCAATCACCTTCAGATAGAAGATTGCCAAGCTAACGGCAACGTCTTTGGTGTATTTCAACCTCATAGTAGCAAGATCGAACGATCGACAGCGATCATTTGAGACTTGTACATATACCGTCGCGTCGCATTAATTATCAAAACGAAACGAATTGAATCGATACAACTTCTCGTGTCTTTCATCTACAAATGGTCAATTAATGACCATTCGTACTGCATATTCTTGCTACCGGTATTATTCGTATATTATGTAGAAGAAAGGAAAATGGAAAAAAATGCGTGCCATTATGGTACATATGTATTGTATATTGGTGATGACCATGCAGTTTGTAAGGTACGTGATCAATGGTTTATGCATGGGTTGTGCTATAGCATTACGGAACCCTTGCTATACTAAATAGTAGCTACGAATCGGATACAATATTGCAGAGTGGAAATTTAGAATTTAAAAAGTAGGGACACTGTTTCACATGATGATAGAAGAGGGATATGAACTTCCTGACCATATGGTGTTTCTGCTGTAGTCAGTCAACGGTGAAACATGGGGAAGTGAGGTGACCGGATGAATCATGATCAAGGTATAAGTTTGACTTGAATTCTATGTACCTACAAAATTAATTGTATATTAGTATTAAAAAATTTTTCGAAGAAAAATGGAAAATGTGTTTCTGGAATGCTGCAAGGGAATTATACATAATTATTAAACGTCATTAACAGTTTATATTCCATGCCAATTATATAGTATTTTATTCATTTACAAGCAATTATCGATTACGAAATTATGTATTTGCTGTATCCAATGTATTTTGTCTCAATATCGTGAAATAGGACATTGCGGTGCTCATTATCTGTAAGATACAAAGGAAAATTTAATCAATTAAAGATATATTGTATAATGAAATTAATTCAATTACCTTAGTAAATGTTTCAAGGGAAATAGGAAAAAATCGCCAAGCATTGATGTGACAAGCTCGTGACGATCTCATAATGACAAACTGCACATCTTTTCGTATCATTTTTCCAAATTTATCCATGGACAGATCCGTCCATGGGGATGCATACACTGCTGAAGTAACGCTTACACTTGCATGAGTCATGCTACTGCAACTGTATGTGAATATCCAAAGTTGACATATATTCGTCACTAACAAAGATGCGAAAGAAATGCGCATTGGAAGATTCAACGTCTCCTGTAGAGTATAACATTATTATGGTGCACCTTGTTTCAAGAAAAAATTTCTAATCAAATTTATTTAAATGAAACCATAAAAGGTTTTCAGGATGTATACTAACCAAAAATGTTTGATATCCAGTCAAACACATTAACATGCTAAAAATTAACACTTGCATAAGCATAATCTCTCTGAACACTTCATCGATCAATTTGCAGAAATCAATGAGGGCTTGATGTTGCCGAATGCAATCTCTAAACGCGCCTAAACAAATCTCCGATAAATACAACACGTTTTTATTTACATTTTTATTATCTTCAGGTGCATTTTGCACTTCGTGAATATTGGTCATCCTGTACTGTAATATGCGAAATTGACCAGCTGCGTGCAGACACATGATGCAGAAGATATTGTCGAAACAGAGGAAACTAATGCCAGCCTGGAATGAGCTGAGAGCCTATGGACACACAGTATCAAATATTTCAAAAAGAATTTAATGAAGCTTTAAAATTAATTTTGCGTACAGAACAAATTCTTTTTGTGTAGAGATATTTTCAATTTAATTACAATGGATTACTATAGTTGGAGTTAACTTCACTACTATAGTTAACAATGATGCTGCATCAACGTTTAGATGCTGCATCAAAGAATACTCTTAGAAAAATTACCACTACCTGTATCACATACTCTATTTCAAAGTACGGCGTCTCATTCCATGATTCATCTAACCACATGGGAAAAATAAGCGTCCTCTCTGATGCATCTTTCCCAATATTTACTAAAATATAATTGTACATAATTTGCTCATTAAACATCGGATATCCTGTTCCTAACATGTGTTTCAGAATATAGTTTCAATTTTGTCCAAATAAAGAATAATTATACCCATGTAAACTATTTTAAAACTTACGTAAATAAAATTGTAATTTTTCAGAAATTTACAATGTTAGAATTGAGTACTCACGTACAGCAGGTCTGAAAATGTAACAGATAACCGTGAATTGCGTTAAGGATGAAAACGTACAAATGAAGTAAATGCAGATTTTCTTCACATTAGCGAGAAGTTGTTCCTCGTGAATACCATAATTCGAATGCCAAAAATTCGTCTGCATAAACTCGATCAATTGAAGAAACTTCCTTTTCTGAATAAACACTGAACAAAACTTGAGGAAGCATAGGGCTAAGCCCACTATATTGCACACGAACGAAGTGCTTATCTACAATAAGAGAAACACGAAACAGATGAAAGAAAAATTGGAAATATTATTATGAAACCCAAAAACAAAATTTCATATCACTTACAGTAGGATCATCCCAACAAACGTAAAGACCTCTGAACTGAAACGCTGCAACCAACATGAGTGAGATTATGGAATAAATCACCATAAAATTTCTGATATATTTCTCTGCACGGTTAACTGCGAACCATACACCCATCAGCTTTAAATAGAAGATAGCTGAAATAATGGAAATATCTGTTGACTGTTTCAACCACATGATGAGGAAATCGAACGATCGAATGTACTTGTTTCAAACTTATATATGTACATACCCTACCAATTATAAAAACGCAACGAATGGAATCGATACAATGGAGCATGTCTATAATCTATAAATCCTCAATAAATCTTCGTTTGTACTTGCTACTGCTACTATTCTGTAGGAAAAAAGGATAAAGGGACGAGTTGCATGCCATTATTTATGCATAGTCAAAGCTACGCTATTAGAGAATTTTCAATGTACTAAATAGTAGCTACATGCTGGGTAGATGACTGTAGGGGAGGGATTTAGTATTGAAAGAATGTCTGAAGCGATCAGGCCAATGGGGTGGAATATGATTTTTTGGAACAAAGTGTTTTTCTAATGGGGTATTGTGCTTGTTCTACAGTAGAATATAGTTGTTTGAAGTAACTGGATGAAGGAGGGTACATTGTGTTAAATACTGGATTTTTAGTATCCAATTACCTAATGGTGCACGTAGGGAAGGGATGATAATCAAAAACGTAGTAAGTACCTGTAACACCCACGTGTGTTTGAAAATTATATAGATACTTAAATATGGAACTTTATAGGGTAGAGAGTTAGAATTGAAAAAATGATTGAAACGATCATGCTGATGAGAGGGAAATATGATTTTTAGTTGCAAAGTATTTTGCTGGTGGAGTGCTGTGATTGTTCAATGACGACATGTAGTGATTTAAAGAGATTAGATGAATTATGAATACGATACGTCGGTGTATGAATGTTAATGCAAGCTTGATTTGAATTTTCTAATAGAAAATTTTCAAAATTTTACCGAAAACTTCAAAAAAATGCCATGACATGAAACAACGATTAAATACCAAACAATTTAATTTTGAAGAAATATAACTATCTTTCTTTCGTAGTACCGTTTGTATCATGCAACAGATACGAACAATTCATTTACATTCTGTTCAACAACCATGCACTGTTTTCTGTGCAGAGCATGCAGAATATTACAATATTATTGTACAAATACTACGAACTAATAGCATCCTGGGATTGTTGTAACAGTGTAAAGTAAGATGCAGCTGTAGTTAAAACCTGCAACAAAGGAACGCGAGTATTTGTTATTTTCCGTATTGTAATGCAGCAAAGCGTTTCGATTACCTTCGTGTAGGTTTCCAAAGACACCATGAAGAATCCACTGCCTGTGAGGCAGCAAGGTATATTAGACCTCATGATGACCATTACCAAATCTTTCTTTATCTTATGTCCGTTTTCACTTATGGGTAAAAGAAGCCACGGTCCAAAATATGCGGCCGGGGCTAATTTCATACTTTCTCGAATGATGCGGTCACAACTGTACGAGAACATCAGTAATTGACAGGTGGTCGCCATGAAGTGGAAGAAAAAGATAAATCGTCTGAGTGGCAGTTCTGCCTGTAGAATAGCTGAATAAATGGATTGCAAATGATATAAAGTTGGAAATTAGATGAAGAAATTTAACACCAATCATCTTTTAAATTACTGATAAATTTATAGGAAAATTAATAATCTGTCAAAGTATAAAAACTCATTAACAATAAAAGAAAATACTATCGACAAATGTAATACAATTTAAAGCAACTGGATTGCAATTTTGGTATAATTTTGCTGATAATATGATTGTTCCAGGTGTATACCAACCAGAAGCATTTGATACCCATCGAGACAAATTAACAAACTGAATGCCATGACTTGTACGAGTAGAATCAGACTGAATACTTCCTCAAGCTGATCGCAAAACGCGATGAGTGTTTGATGCTGTCGAATACATCCTTTAAAGGTACCATAAGAATCGTTTAAAAGTTTCGAGCAATTATTCTCCGAATTCTTTTCATGGGTTACAATATATTTGCTCGATAATCTATATTGCAATATTTTAAATTGTCCAGCCAGATGTAGGCTCAGGATGCATAATATATTGTCGAAACAAAAATATGCCAACCCAATGTGATACACGCATAGAGCCTATAAAAATACATATTCTGAAAACTAAATTATCGAAATAACATTAATCACAATAGGTACCTCGGTAGTGAAAAAGATTTCAAAATACGGTGTCATGGTTACTGGAAAATCAATCCACATATCGAACGGAAGTTCTCTCTCAGATTCATTCTTTCCGATGTTTGCTGATATAAAAACGTAAATAATTCTTTGTAAAATATGTCGATTGCGATATGACTTACCAATAATTGGTGTACAGATGTAGGAGAAAACGGTGATTTCGGTAAAGAAAATAAAGATACAAATGAAAAAAGTGCATTGGCGTTTGCAACTGGCCAACACCGATGCTTCGTATTCGTCATAATCAGCATGCAGAAAGTTTTCTTGCAAGTATGCAATTAAATAAAAGAATTTATTTCTGTGTATAAGTATAACGATCATCTTAAACAGAGGCACTGTGAGTGATAAGAGGTTGCATGTATCGAAAAGACAAGTCTACGAACAAAAGAAAGCAATATATATTTTTGATTGCGAATTACTAATTTTGTAAGTGAATTATATAACCTGGTTACTAAACTGACCTCAAAATTTTCGCGAGAATAGTACAAATCCGTAACCAGAAGCCATATTCCGTAAAAGTTCACGGAAATGCTATAAAGTAACGCGACGTTCCTTAGTACTTGTTCACTTCGATTGTTAACAAACCAAAATCCTATAAATTTCATAAAAAACGACGTGAAAGCGATGGAAACATCGTCGTCTCGTAAAATAGTCATACCGAGCTTCTAATCACTAAGTGATAACGTTTCGATGTCAAAGCTTTACAAGAAACTTCGGATCGATTATTACAGTGTATCAGTTGCTTTGATGTATTGGCATCTGTTTCCTTCTTACAATCGGTACAAAGTTATTCAAAGAAACGAAAAAGGAAGGGGGATGAATCACGATGCGATCGATTTTATTTGAATCGATGAATTATGCATGATCTCAAGATTGAGACTCTATGTGAAAGTTAACAACGATCAACAGCTGCGCTGCTGCTTTGCATGGGGGATATTTAGTCTGTTAAATGAACAATGAAAGTTCGCTGTAATTTGAACGGGAAATAGTGAAGAAATGGAGACTGATTCGAGGGGATCTAGTGGTTTCCGGAGGTGCTGATTTCAGTGCTACCTAACGTGCCATAGGACTTTTATAACAATATTACAATTATTACAAAATGTTATTAGTTCGTGAATTATTGTGAAAGTGAGATTAACTTGTAACGTAGCAGAGGAAGAATTTTCAAGGTATCAAATGTTCTTTCAATAATATAATTGTGGCAGTGAAAATAGTGAAAATTTTCTTAATGGACGGACGTTTTCATTTTGTTTGACAGCCCCGTTTTTACAATGACTTGTTGCACTAATAACTTTGGAGGAAGAAAGTACCTACGTACTATTTTATGTGCAAAGCATGCACAAATTTACAAATATGCGATACTATGAACTATTAACATCCTCGCTTTGTTGCAGTAGTGTAAAGTATGATGCTGCAGTGGTCAAAACCTGCAACAGACAAACAAGAAGATTCAACTTTATGCAGACGTATGCAACAAATTGGTAAGTACTTAGTAAAATTTCGAATCACTTTAATCAATTATACAAATCAAGTATCAGTACAGAATAATATTTGAAACTTAGCGATACAATATTCTTTATTATCAGTAATGTATAAAAGACAGAAACGTCGTGTCGTTGCGTTATAATTACAATACCTTAGTATAGGTTTCCAATGACACCATGAAGAATTTGCAAGCTGTAAGACAGCATGGTTTATGAGATCTCATAATGACCATTACCAAATCTTTCCTCAATTTTTGTACATTTTCATTCATTGGTAAGAGAAGCCACGGTCCAGAGTATACTGCACGAGCCAACTTTCGACTTTCTTGAATGACACAGTCGCAACTGTACGTAAACATCAGTAATTGACACACGGTACCCATCAGATGGAAGAAGAAGATAATTTTTCTGTGAGGCACATCTGCCTGTAGAACAACTAAATTAATAGATCGTAAAGGATTTAAAGCTGACAGTTAAGTGCAATATGTATACCCAGCTTTCGAATTAGTAAAAGAAAAACAAACATGCAAATGAATTTTATTTTTAATAAATTAATAAAAATGTGAAATTCTTAACAGAATGGTGTGGATTACTATTAAGTTACGTGTAGTGAAATTATTTAAAAATTAAAAATATGTATATATACTAACCACAAGTATCTGATACCCATCAAGACAAATTAATAAACTAAATGTGATTACTTGTACAAGTACGATCAGATTAAATATTTCTTCAATTTGATCGCAATACGCGATGAGTATTTGATGCTGTCGAATATAGCTTTTAAAAGTAGCACAACAATCATTTATAAATTTCAAAGAATTCTTCTCCAATTTTAAATTCGACTTCTCTTGGTCTTTTATAACACATTTGTTTGATACCCTGTACTGCAGTATTTGAAACTGTCCAGCCAAGTGTAGATTCATGATACATAAGAAATTATCGAAGCAAAAATAAGTCAATCCAATATGGTACACGCACAAAACCTATTGAAATATACCTTTTAAGACGAAGAAAGTATTTTTGCTTTTAAGTCAAAAAACATCAAACGAAGAAAACTTTAATAACCATTTGAACAGAAATGTGATATCTTGGAAAATGCAATTAAGAATATATATTGTAATTTACATTGTTGTTAATTGTTGTATGTAAAGTATTACCTGTATAACGAAAGTAATTTCATAATATGGTGTTATGGATAATGGTAGATTCACCCACATGTTGAACGGAAGTGTCCTATCAGATTCGTTCCTTCCGATATTCACTGAAATAAAAATGGGAAAAATTTATTCTCTATCGAAACAAGTGTTCCACTTGCAATACGACTTACCAATAACTGGAGTGATAATGTAGGAGAAAACAGTCCCTTCGGTTAAGAAAATAAAGAAACAAATGAAGAAGGTGCATTTACGTTTGCAACTGGCCAATACAGATGTTTCGTATTTGTCATAATTTGCATGCAGAAAATTTCGCTCCAAATATGTGATTAAATGAAAGAATTTCTTTTTGTGCACAAGCAGAACGAGTATCTTAAACATTGGCACTGTCAGCGACAAAATGTTGCATGCATTATAAAGACAAGCCTACGGACAAAGAGGAAACATTAGCCAGCATTAAATGGTTTTACTAATTATTTAAACTGTAAATTCATGATGACAACTTTACAGATTTTTCAATAATGTTTCGAACTATGTGTATTAAAAATTACTTGACACGTTTGTAATAAAAATTAATGATGTTATTATTACATTAGCGAATTAAAATTAATTCAAATTATCATTATCCAATGTGATAATTAATAAAACCTAATAATTAACTACACAACACACAATATAATACATCACTGGGTGATATATCTTTCAAAAGCACAAACTTCCAAATATTTAACATACGAGTTGACAGTTTAAATGAATCATTCGTACTAGACTAAACTCACCCCAAAATCTTCCCGAGAGTGATAGAAATCCGTAGTCTGAACCCACAAGGAGAAAAGAATCGCGAACATGGTATAAAACAATGTGACGTCTCTGAGCCGTTGTTCACTGCGATTGGCAGCAAGCCAAAATCCTATGAGTTTCATAAAAAACGACGTAAAAGCAATGGAGACGTCGTCGACTCGTAAAATAGTCATACCGAGCTTCTAATCACTAGATGATAACGATCTAATATCAAAGTTCTGCTAGACACTGGGTACCAACTATTACAGCATGCCCAGAACGATCAGTCTCTTTGATGTATTGTAATTCGCGCTCTCTACTTATCTTTATTACAGTCTGTGCAGAGTTATTCGAAACGACGAAAGAAAAGCGGAGTGAATAGTGAAATGATCGACTTCATTTGTGAAGTAATAGAAGGAATCGATGAGCTATGCATGATCCCGAGATGAGGCTCTATGTGAAAGTTAATAACGATCAACAGCTACGCTAATGCTATACATGGGGGACATTTAGGTTGTTAAATGAACGATGAAAGTTCTCTATAATTTATTTAAACGTATAATGAACGTCTATGGTAAAGCAGTGGAAACTCTGTATGAAGAGAATTGATATGATTTCATCAAGTGTCGATTGATCCACAACCCATTTCACATATAGAACGGGCATTGTATTACAATTACAAAGTGCTACGAGGAACTAGTATCTTGCATTCCTTTTACAAGTGTAAAGTACGATGCTGCTGTACTGAGAACCTGTAACAGACAAATGATGAACAATTAGTGCAATGCTACGAGATAAATTCATAGGTGTTGAAAAAGAATACTCTGTTGACTGAGGACGGTAATTGTTTGTAAATTAACAAGTAAATGGATAAATAACATTTAGAGAAAAGAAGGATAAAAACAGAAGAAATTTTTAATCCTTATGGAGTAAGTAAACTACTGAATATAAATAAACTGTAAATATAGTTAGTATATACGTAATTTGAAATAAGAATAATTCAAAAGCTACTCACTTTGAATGGTTGATAAATAATAACCTTGTGCAATAAAATTGTAAGAATGTATTCTAATTACCCTGCTATAAGTCTCCAAAGACACAATGAAAAATCCATAGGCTGTTAGACAGCAAGGGATATTGGATCTCATGATGATCATTACCAAATCTCTTCTTAACTTTTGTACATTTTTATTGCTGGGTAAAAAGACCCATGGTCCAGAATACACAGCCAAGGCCAATTTCCTACTTTCTCGAATGACACTGTCACAACTGTACGTGAACATAAATAAGTGGCATATGATGCTCAGGAGGTGGAAGAAAAAGATGATTCGTCTGTCCGGTGCATTCGCCTATAAAATTACTATAATAAATAAATTGGTTGTAAAGGGTTTAATTACTGTTATTGTATACTAACCAGAAGTATTTGAAATCCATCCAAGCAAATGAACAAGCTGAACGATAACAGTTGCACGAATAAAAGAAGACTGAATACTTCTTCAAGTTGATCGCAATAGGCGACAAGAGCTTGATGCTGGTGAATATAATTTTTAAAGATAATGTAATAATCTTCTGTGAATTTCAACAAACTTTTGTCCGATACATCTTTCAGTTCATCCATATTCTTTATAACACTCGTGTTTGATATTCTGTATTGCAATATCCGAAATTGTCCAGCCACGTGTAGGCTCATGATGCATAAAAAATTGTCGAAACAAATATGACCAAAGATGATGGGGTATAAAGTTGCAACCTATGAAAAATGAATTCTATCGCTCAAGAATTAACGATATTTGGTTTGGAACAGGTATATTACCTGAAAGAAGAAGATGATTTCAAAGTATGGTGTCATTGATAGTGGAAGATCAACTTCTATATAAAATGGCAATTCCCTATCAGATTCGTTCTTCCCAATATTCGCTGATATGAAAACAATAATAATTTATTTTTCTTCGTATCAAATGACATAGTTATAACACGACTCACCAATAATTGGATTAACAACGAAGGAGACAACAGTCGCCACAATTAGAAAGATAAAGAAGCAGATAAATACTGTACATTTACGTTTACAACCAGCTAACACCGATGCCTCGTAATTATTATAATTTACATATAGAAACTCTCGTTTCACATACTCGATTAAATAAAATAATTTCTCTCGATGTGGAAGCAGAACGAATATCTTGCATAGGGACATTATTATGTTTAAGCCGTTGCTTATATGATAAAGACAAGTCTATAAACAAAGAAACAATATTATTTGACATTTATTAATAATTATTAACTATAGATATATGCATATGGTGTAAGACCGTAACTTGAAGAATTTCATTTGACATTAATTCATATGTTGATTACTTGAATAAAACAATTGTCATTCGAATATAATTATTGCAGAACATATAATATAATAATTTAATTTAAAATATGTGAAATGTCAAAAAAAGAAAAATCATGACGACCAATCATAAAATTCACATTGCGAAATTTTCACAAGCACGAAAAGTTAGATGTCCCTACTGGAACAAAGCTTACCCCTAAATCTCCCCAAGATTGATGGATATTAAGAATCTGAATCGAAAGCAAGAAAATGAACGATAGCATCGTGTAACTTAAGGCGAGGATCCTCAAATATTCTTCCCGACGATTGGCAGTCTGCCAGAATCCCATGAGCATCATGCAAAACGATGTTGCACTGATGGAAATGTCGTCATTGCCCAAGGAAGTCATACTGAATTTCTAATACGCTTCGATAACAAAGTCATGCAAGAAATCTTATGCAGATTATAGCAATGCATCCAGAACCATTAGTCGCTTTGAGATATTAGCATTCACGGTTTCTACTTATTGTTAGTCTTATTGGAGACTGTACGTAAGAAAGGGGTGAATAAAGAAACATTCGACAAGTAATGTATGGAATCAATGAATTATGTATAATTCCAAGATCACGAAACCCTTTGTGAACCTTAATAACCAGTGGCGGCTCGCGTATAGGCACTATGGAACTGCAGCACCTCCAATTCTACTTGGTATTATCGATAACATTTAACATAATGAGTCCGTCTTTCTTTAATTCTTTCTTTATACTTGTACAATATACATATAATCCTTAAGCTTAATATCAGTAGCCATCCCCCAATTTATAAAAAAGATACAAAAATCTTTGTATGCGGTGGGGTGTTTGACTGTGCCCGCATGCGCACATAGGAAGCTGCACGCGCGGCTGCAAGGGTGAGAGACCTCCGTCGCTCCCGCAGTGTCGACAAGTGCCGACCTTAGCGTGCTGGTGGAGTATATTTTTTTTTTACTCCGCGTGTGTGGTGCTTAAAAACCGTGGATCATATTCTTGAATGTGATAAAGTATAGAATTAGTGATGTTCAAGTAGTAATAGGTTTATTAAATAATAAATATTAATATAAATAAGTTCAGAGAAATGTGTTATACCTCTCCGCGTGATAAATAATAAAATGATTTTGTTGTTTTAGGATTTTATCAAGTTTCTGAATAAATTTTCTTCAGCAGTAATTTTTTATTGATTACACTCTAACCAGAAAAATAGACGATCATTTGATATTCTAAAGGTGTTAAAAAATATATATATAAAATATTAGTGAACGTAACATTTTTGAGAGTTTATTGTTTGAGACGAAGTGAAACGAAGAAATGTAGATAATAAAAGTATATATTTGTATAAATTCCAAGAAAGCAGGTAACTCTAAAATAAGTAAATAAGGTGATTTTATATACCTATTAAATTATCTGCTACAAAATATATTGTTTATTTATTCTATTTACAGATGCTTCTTTTAATAATGAGTTAACAATGTGAAATATGACACTGCAGTACTCAAAACCTGCAATAATATAACAATGTTTCAATTTGCCATTTTAAATTAATAACGTGATCTTACGTTAGTGGTTTTAAAACTTATCCTGTTTACGTGTTAATAATATTAGTGCAGTAAATTAATTTTAATTACCCTAGTGTACGTTTCCAAAGACACGGCGAAGAATCCACTAGCCGTTAAGCAACAAGGTACCCTAGATCTCATGATAAGGAGTAGCAGATCCTTTCTCACCATCATTCCCATTTCATCTACCGGTAAAATTGTCCATGGACTTTTATATGCCGCTTCTGCAATGTTCAAACTTTCTTGTATCAAACAGTCGCAGCTATAGGTGAACATCAACAGCTGACATATGCAGCCAAGTATGTGAAACAGGAAAGTGATGCGTCTGGTCGCAGAAGCGTCATCCTGTCGGATGTATCATTAAAATAATGTTCTGGTAGTATGTAGAGAGAGAAATATTCAATCGTTTGAATTTTAGTAAGTATTGATACTCAAGTACTAACCATTAGTACTAGGTATCCATCAAGGCAAATTAATAAGCTAAATAATAACACTTGTGCAAGCACCATCAGATTGAATACCTCTTCAAGTTTATTACAATATAAAATTAGCATCTGATGTTGTTTAATATAGTCTTTAAACGTAGCGTAATATTTATCTGTTCCATCATCTTTCTCTTTATCATTAATGACGTACACTTTAGTCAATCTATGTTGTAGTACACGAAACTGGCTAGCAGCATGCAGATTCATAATGCATAAAAAATTATCGAAGCATAGATAACACACGCCAACGTGGCACAGAGATAAAATCTACATGAATATAAAATTGAAAATATCATTCAAGTTAGAATAGAGAACAAGTAAGACTGATAGATTAGTTTTAATTAATTAATTTATGTTACCTGTAATACAGACATTATCTCAAAGTATGGTGTTAACGACAACCATTGCACATCCAACCACATGTTGAATGGAAGCATTCTGTCTGATTCATTTCGACCAATGTTTTCTAAAAAAGAAAAAAAAGTAGTTCTATGTAACGATGCACCAAAAGAAAAGCGAAATATAATAAATTATGGTGAGCTATAGATAGCTTCTGCCCGAAGGGGTAGAAAAAGAAATTTGGAAAGTATTAAAATCTAATCAAATTAAGATACTAGTAAGACTGATTTTATTTTACAATAAAATTAAACTTTTTAAGATTGCATTACCTTTGAACAAAATAATATATTCAATTCCATCAAACTTCACGGCACTTTCCCATATTCAAACATTCTAATTCATTCATCAATTCTGGCTAAATTTAAGATAGCACTACATTTTGATTAGCGATATTATCTTTTAATCAATATTAATTAACTTACCAACAATTGGCCTTATTATGTAGCCGACAATAGTGCCTTGAGCGAAAAATGAGAAGACACAAATGAGGTAGGTGCAGGTACGTTTGCAATTGTTTATAATTGCTTGCTCCTCTGGCGTGTAATTGGAATGCCAGAAATTTGTTCTCGCGTATATAACTAAATTGTAAAGCTCTTTTCTATATATAAATGAAATAAGTAATTTGAATAATACCATAATCAGTGAGAGAATATTACATCCGATATAAATAGACTCCTGCAATCATAAAACACGAAATCAACAATATTTCTATTCAAATTTATTTCCTACTAAAAAATAGACAACGAGACGGTCAAAATGATATAAACATAATTGGAACCATTCGTATCTCGTCAAATTCAATTCTCAAACTCTAATGAGACAAGTAAATTTTAATTCTTCGTACACTTACACTAAAGTTTCCCAAGGTGTAATACATATCCCTCGTCTCTACCACCACAGCGAATAATAATGCAATTACGGTATAGATCAACGCAAACTTCCTCAAACGTTCTTCGTATTGATTGGTGGTCAACCAAAATCCCACGAACTTCATATAACAAAACGTGGCGGAAATGGAGATATCTTTGTCGTCTTTGAGCTGCATCGCGAACCACGTGCAACTCACGATTTCCAAACGGTGCAAGAACCTTACGACGATTTATCATCCGTACTAATTAAATGTTGCAAAACTGACGGTTGTCTCTTCAAGCCTTTTTCCATCTTCCTTTTTCAAAGGAAAAGGAACAGGAACATGATTGCACGTGAGAAAAGAAGTAGTGCGTCGATGAATTATGAACGATAGAGGGGGAGTGATGATTGTTCGGTAACTGCGACGATACCTGGAATAACTTGGCAGCTAGCTGACAGTAGATCAACTGTGATACAATCAAGCCTGTCACTTGGTAATAACTCTTTCCATTTGAAATATAAGAAAGGTGAGTAGGAAAAGTTGCTTTCGGTCAATACAAGCATTTTTCAAATTTCAACATGTCGAGCAACATGTCCAAAAGGAGAAAGACAATAGTGCTGTTCGCAAGGCAAAGTGATTAATTTCATTTTTGTAATTTTCGAGAATTTTAGTATGAAAGCACTTAATTGCTGCTTAACTTTTTATACTTTATCAATTTCTCTATTCTTCATTTTTGGAGTTAATAGAATCCACAAGTGGGTGGCTCAATTATAAAAATGTCTTGAAATTAAATAAATAAATCATCTTATTTACACAACTGTATATGTACACCGCAAGTTTCATTACGCATTCACTAAATCAGGAGCTGAGTGTCTTAAAAGTGTGAAATAGGACATCGCTGTGCTGAGAACCTGAAACGCAAAACGTTGAATTTTGTTAATATGTAGTGCTCTTCGATAATTGTGTATTTACCGCTGTACAAGTTTCCAAACAGACGGGGAAGAATCCACCAGCGGTTAAACAGCAGGATTTTTTGGATCTTAAGATAATCATTAGCACATCGTGTCGCAAAGCTTTGCCAACTTTATTCATGGAGAATATGTGCCAGGGTCCTGAAAACGCTGCTTGGCCAACGTTCACACTTTCACGTATCAAACCATCCGAACAGAACGTGGACATTAAAAGTTGAGAACAAATGGCCAGCATGCCTAGTATCAAACTTACGCGTCTTGCTGGTGGTGAATTTAGCTGGAATCATGTTAATCAAATGACACTTGAAGACTAAAACTACCTCTGTGTGGTAAATTGAATTTTTTAATAAGCTTCTTCAGTTAAGAAAAAAAAAAATTACGTATTATTGTTTTCTGAATTGGGAATATTGAAATTTTATGAATTATAATATAGTCTTATAAAAATGATAAAAATAGAATATTTTTCAAAAACATTGCAATGTACAAACCAAAAATACTTGAAATCCCTGCAAGCATAGTAACATGGCTAAAAACAATACTCCGCTAAGCACGATCAAAGTAAACACGTTCTCAAGTTTTCTGCAATAATTAATCAGCGCCTGATGATGCCTAACGCAGCTCTTCAATTTCACCCGATATTTGATCGCGTTTTTCAACAGGTACGCATCCAAATCTTGACCGTCGTCTATTTGCTTCTCAATTATGTTGCTCAAACTCGTCAGCCTGTGTTGCAGTATGCGAAATTGGCTGGTTATGTTCAGGCATACGAGGCATAAAAAATTGTCGAAGCAAAGGTAGCTTATTGCAACGTGATACACGCAAAGCATCTGTGCAAACACGTTTCAATTTCAATTTGCTAATTGTCGAAATATAATATTTAATCCGATGAATTTTTAACTAATACACAATAAACTCTTAGAGTAATTCTATTAAATTCTTGTATAAGTTGCCAATTTCAATTTCAACTCATATTTCATGATAATTTCAATGTCAATTTATATTTCATAATAATTTAACATTATAAAAATCTTGTTTTAGCTGATTCACGAGTGAAAACGTAAGAAGTTTCCTTCACTGAAATACACCGGAAATGCAGCACGCGAAAAATGCATAAAAATACGTATGTACTTACCTGTATAGTGAAACACACTTCGAAGTAAGGCGACATTGAAGTGGGAAAGTCAATCCACATGTTAAATGGTAAGAGCCTTTCGGATTCGTCCTTTCCAATATTTTCTAAAATATACAGAAAAAAAAGAAACGTTAGACAAGAATAAGTATACTATAATATTTAGTAACTGAAAATGAAACAGGAAAGGCGTGTAAGTTCCACATGAAATGAACTCACCTAAGATAGGCGTGAGAGCATAACCGGCGCAAGTACCTTGTACACAAAATGTAATAAAAAAGATGAATATGTCGCACAATCTTTTGCAATCCATTAAAATTTTCTGCTCTTGACGATCGTTTCCTGGACCTATGAAGTTCCGTTCCGCAGACATAATTAAATCATAGAACTTCTGTCTGTGTACGTACAAAAGTACTACCTTGAAGAAACCGACTACCAAGTACAGAATGTTGCACAATATGTAGACGCAATTCTAAAATCGTTCAATGATAAATTAGAGACTTAAATTGTGAACACGAGGTGAATAAAATTTTTATACAAAAACAGACAAAATCAATTCAATTCATTATATACTCACGTTAAAGTTGCCCCACGAGAAATACAGATCTCTTACCGCGATACAGGTGGCGGTAATCAATGCAAAAAGTGTATAAATCAAAGCAAAATTCCGACGCAACTGTTCGGCTCTATTAGTCGCTATCCATAGTCCAATTACTTTCATTAGGAAGCACATCCAAATAATGGAGCGATCTTTACTGTGCACCAAACGCATCGTGAACATCGAATAGCTGAAGATACAAATGTTCGATTCTCCCGGAAATTCAACGATCAATTTTTAAACACGAAACGTCAAGCAGGATATCTAACAAGAGCCATCACTCTTTCTTCGCACTTACACTTCACGCGTTCTCTTTCATATGAATCAAAAGCTACTAATTAAGAGTATATTATTCATGACTCAATGAGAGGGATCGAATCATCCTCGTGACAACAAAGAATATACGCTAACCGTGACAGTACGTGAAATGGAAGTGAAGTACACTGTTATTTACTACGATCAAATAAAAAAGTATCATTCTTTGAGAAAAGATACTTCTTAACAGTGAAAAGTCTGAAGAGTATGAAGTTCCTCGTTTTCCACTGGATTGAAAGTAAGACTGAATTAGAATTCGAAGTAAGTATCTGTATTGATCATATTTTAAGAAATTCTTTCTACTAAATCAATATCACTTCTTACTGAAAACACATTGAAAGTTAATAACTTTTTGGAAATTTTCTAAATAAAAAAAGTAACACATTCTCAACATTTCCTAAGTGATGGGTGAGATTAGCCACCCCCCAAATTGATCATATGTTCATCTAACTTTATTCTAATAAAAATACAATCCAATTATAAATGATTTAGTGGTAGGTAGCTTTACAAAAAAAACATACCAGTATATTTCAAGCTTTATAATTGTATTAAAATCGGTATAAACAGGGCCGGCGTGTCCTTTTGCGGGGCCTGGTTCCAAAAATTTTGTGGAGCCAGAATACACATTCAAATCCTATACTTAAATTTCACAATAAGGAATTATTTATTATAAGTAGCAAGGATGTTACGTATGTATATTTTTTGTAAAATGAATATTACATAATTTTTCTCGCTTTTTTAGCCGCAAAATCTTTGATTGCGTCATCAAAATTGATTGAATCGGCTACTTCGCTTTTTATTGAAAGAATAGCCAGAGATGTAAATCGGTCTTGGCTTATTGATGACTGAAGATAAATTTTTATTAGTTTCAACCGCGAGTTTTTGTAAACCGCGGGGCCTTTCAAAACGCGAGGCCGGGTTCTGGCGAACGCGCTGAACCTGCCTCGCGCCGGCCCTGAGTATATCAATTGTATAAAACATGAAATTATAAACCTCTATTTAACAATATTATATCCTTCTGATGCCTGGCATAAATCACGGATGAAGTTTCGAATACGACCGGTCACCGATCAAGATGAAATTTTGAGGGGAGGGGGAGGGAGGAGGGAGAGGGAACCCCAAATATAAAGTGGCATCTTCGGCTTCCTATTAGTTTCCGAGATATTAATGAAAAACTTTCGTACAATGCAGTAAAAGCTGGATATATGCAACGAAAGATTGGCTGGATATATGCAACATCGCTATCTCCTCCACTTGGGGGGATCCCCCTAAGCGAACCGAGACGCTCGACGAGGAAACCGTGTAATACGATCCGAACCGTTATATCGGTGTGACTAATACTAATTCAACGATAAAACTTTTTTATTTTTAACTTTTTCTTAATGAAACTTTTACTACCGCATTGGTGAGATTTTTCTGATTAAAATGATACCAAACACGATATAGTTTGAATTATATTTATTTAATGCTGCTGAACTATTGACTTCAAATTAGGTGCTTTATGATGTTAGGAACAGCCCGTGATTTCCATGAAACCGGACAGTTTCTTCCTACTGAAAATTAAAGTAATTTAAAAGCTAACAGTAATAACATAATGATAATAGAATAAATAAACAATAATAATAGAATAAACAACATAGAATTGACATCTCGGCTACATATGTATAAGGCAGGCCATACACCAAAGATGCATCGAACACGCAACATTGCATGTTGCATGTTGCATGTTTGATGCATTTTTGGTCTGCCTAAATGATGTGTACGAACATAGAATAGGTATCGCTGCTGAATAGAAACGATGTGTACGAACGCAGAATCGACACCTCGACTGGATATATGCAACATTAAATGCCCAGAATCGACACCTCGGCTGGATATATGCAACGTCTAGGTCCCAATGTTTGTTGCATATATCCAGCTTTCACTGTACATCGAATTTTTCCTATACAGACGTAACTAACACAACCGACTTCGTTGTAGTAAGCTGACATTGTCAAGTGTCGAACGGCCGTTGACACAGTGGGTATTCCAACCAGACTATCTATACGGTGTCCTATTCAAAACTTTGGAGATACGACGACTGTTGTAGCGTTGCCGGCCGCCTTCCGGCGCCTGAAATTTATCTGCCCTAATCTAACCTACGTATAAATCAAATGTGTTTAATTCCTTGAGAATTAGTAAAAAAATATAAAATATAACATAATGTAACTAAGAAAATGGATTTTACATAGAACACCCTATAGAAACGAAAGTCGATATCGCTATGGTGTGAACGACTGTTCGACAGTTGACGATGACGTGTTAGTTGCGTCTGTACAGGAAAAATTCTATGTATTGTACGAAAGTTTTTAATTAATATCTCGAAAATTAATAGGAAGCCGAAGATACCACTTTATATTTGGGGTCCCCTCCCTCCTCCCCCCTGCCCCTCAAAATTTCATCTTGATCGGCGACCGGTCGTATTCGGAACTATAGCCCATATCACAATACAGTACATTAAAATATGCAAGTTCAATTATTAAAAGGCATCACAAGCATATAAAAATATTGTATGTATTACTAGTTATTTGTTCATGTGGTAGTTTCCTTTATCATAGTAAAGTAAGAAAGTGTGGTACTTGTTATCTGTAAGAAAAAATGTTAATCTTGTAATTTAGAAAACTGCTTTGGCAATCGTTAATTATATCGTTCGTGAACTTAAATGGTATTCTTCAAAATACAGAAGGAAAGGATATTTAAAATCGTTGTATATAGGATGACACACAATAATTGCAATTATTCAAAATACCATCGTTCCATTATTGAATTTAAATTCTCTACTTGAGACCTTGAACAATTTTCTTGCATTTGTTGTACCGAACATTATATTCAAAGTGTCAAATTTCTTTATAGAAATATAGGTAAGACAAAATTAAATGAAATATACTACTTACCGTGGTAGCAGTTTGCAATGACACAGGGAAGAATCCAGCAGCAGTTAGGCAACATGGTCGTAATGATCTCAACATAATTATTTGCATGTTTTTCCGCAAAGATTTTCCAACTTTGTTCATTGGCAAAGTGGCCCATAATCCATAGTAAGTAGCCGTAACGATTTTCTCGCTTTCCTCTATCAAGCCGTCGCAAGTGTACGTAAAGATAACGACATGTATGAACGTTCCGATCAAATGAAGAATGGAGCTGACTATTTGCACAACGGATATGTCTGCCTGAAAATAAATAGCGCAAAATATTCGATACACTGATGTTTGTAAATTCTAAGGTAAAATTATGCGACACCACATTATTATTCTTTTTTTGCTAGACGTACCAAAAGTATCTCGTAACAGTCGAAGCTAAATAATATACTACAAACCAACAGATGCGCGGCATTCATTATAGTATATATATTTTCAAGCTTAGCACAGTAATCGATAAGTAACTGATGCTGATGAACGCAGCTTCTCAGCTCGTCGTAACAATGGTGGGTGTATTCGATGATATCCATCTTTTCGTTATCAAAATCCCAAAGTGATATCAATCTGTATTGCAATATGCGAAATTGGCAGACCGTGTGCATATTCAGCATGCACAAGCAAGCGTCCGTAGAAATGTATCCAATGGCAATTAAATTCGCACACATCAACTTAATTAACAATAAATCGATAAAAATTATTATTAACGTGATATTCGTTAACACGTTGAATACCTTTCAGTCTAAATATTTCCGTTGCTACTTCGTGTATAGATTATTGCAATTGATCAATGAAAATATTGCAAATTACGATACCTGATAAGCAAACATTAGTTCGTAGTAAGGTGTTTCAGTGAAAGGCAAATCGACCCACATATTGAACGGAAGTAATCTTTCCGATTCATTCGTTCCAATAGACTCTGTGAAACAGACAAAAAAATATTTCATTAAATTATGTTAAAATCTACATAAATAATATGAAAAACTTCCGATGGAAACAAAAAAGATCAAATTAGATCGGATTACTTATTATTCGAAAAAAAGAATTATAATATCAAATTTTTATTTTTCGTGATACAATTTACTCACGAGTAATCGGCTTTACTCCATAGGTGACTATGCAACCTAAAACTAAAACGTATACGAAGATCATCCATAATGTACACTTAAAACGACACTCAGTAACGTAGACCAGTTCCTGCGAATCATAATTGCAATGCCAGAAATTTCGTTTTGCGTACAAAATAATTTCTACGAAATCCTTTCTATGATAGTTTATCATCGTCAGCTTGCATACCGCCAACAAAATACAACCCGCGTTAATGCTTACAGACACGCATTGCTGAAATCAAAACGTTTAATAATCAAGAAATTTTCTCCAGTATTGATAATAATTAAAATGAAATAATGTTTTGGAAATATCCTAGACGAGAGGAATAATGTACATCCAACAATTTCTAAATTGTTTTGAAGAATTTGCAACGTTAATAATTGCCAGAAATTATTAATACTTACGTTTATATCACCCCAGGAGTGATACATATCAGACACGTTTACGTATGTGCTAAAAATATACGAAATAACAATAAAGAGCAACCAGAGTCTTCTACTACGTTCTTCGACATTATTATTCGTAAGCCAAGACGCTGCAAATTTCAATAAAATCCTAACTGCGTGGATAGAAAGATCTTTGATCGTTGTTTCCTCCTCCATGGTCTCTTTCAAAGAACTCACCTCGCCTTCGCATTTCCTTCGCATCCTACTTTTTTTGAATGTAAAACATTAATCAGAAATTGGAGTGACATGACACGGCTGTATGTCCATGTCCGTTGAATGGCACGAGTCTCTAATTCTCGCACCTTTAGATAAGCCATTCGACCTATCAACTATCAATCCATCGAAAACTTGTCACGGTTGTCACGGTTGTCTAGTATAAAGGTTCTTTCTTATGAACACTAGCTGATCGATATTCGAATGTCAATTCTAGTGATTGCACAGTAACACAGACACATTTAATGCGTCGAAGTTAATCTGTCACAGACTGGTTACAATCATTTGGAAAACTCAGCATGATGTTTCCCGACTAAAAGTGGAAAGGATTCGCAAGTGTGAAGGAAGCAAACAAAAAGTGGACATTTAATACAGCTTTTCTGTACATAAGTTTTGAGTGAATAATTTTTATAATGTATAAATTTTTATGAAAATCAGGCAAAGCTTTCGATATAAATCTTCATTTAGTTTAGTTTGTGATTGATATGATTAAAACTACGTTTTAAGTGAAAAGTTCTACACAACATTTTTATGTTAAATACATAAGAGATCCATTTTGTACATTATTAGCCTTCGTTTCTCAAGAACGATTCCCTCATCAGAGTGAAGTAAGGAAACGTGGAACTTGCAAGCTGCAAACATAAATATTAGTCTTGCAGCCTACATAATTGAAACAAGTGTTAAGTGGAAATAGAAAATCTTACATACCGCAGTAAAGGTATCTAAGGAGACAGGAAAAAATCCACCAGCAGTCAGACGACAAGGTTTCAATGATCTTGGCATAATTATTTTCACATCCGATCTGACTTTATCCATTGGCAAAGTATTCCACGATCCGAAATACATCGCTGTAATAATATTTGTGCTTTCTTCCATCAAACCGTAGCAAGTGTACGTGAATACCATTAAGTGGATAAAGCTACCCAATATGTGGAATATGAAAATCAAACGTCTTAAAGTAATTGCATCTGACTAAAAATACATAATATAATGCCAGATTATTACCTTGAAATGATTTTATCCATACCAAAATTATTTCATAGCAATCGAAACCTATTAACAGATTGAAAATGACCATATGAAATAAAACTGTGTACGAGAATACATGTTGGAGCTTTTCGCAGATTTCAATAAGCGATTGATACTGTTGAATACATTTCTTTGCAAAACTGCGGAACATTGAGCACTGTATCTGACTGTATTTGTGTCTTTAACATCGGAGTTCCAGAAATTCAACATTTTATATTGAATGATGCAAAACTGATAGATCACGTGTATATTCAGAACGCACAAGAAGACGTATGGGCAAATATATGCAATAAACAGTACACGCAATACTGAAATCAGAGTATCGATTAATTAGAAAAAACTATATGTAATGAGGCATATACAATAAAAGCTGCTTTCATTAACCCTTGAACAGCGGAGACTGGTTCAATCGAGACCCAAAGTCAAAAAAATGTACGGCAATAATATGAAATAGAAAATTCAATTAAAATTGAGGCTCTCCCCATGGTCGGCGTCCAAGGGTTAAAAAAAGAAAGCTTTCAAATTGGCACCTTTTTACCAACGTTCTGGATGAATAATATGTAAATTACTGAATCATTCGTACCTGGCATAAGGAAGGTGATACAAAAGTTTATATATATTTTTTTTTAACGAAAATTGAAATTTACTGTACCTGGAAGGCCAATAATAGTTCGAAGTAAGGTGATTCGGATGCAGGCCGATCAACCCGTATCACTATTGGAAGTACTCTGATTTATTTCTTCCAATATTTGCTACATAACATACAAACAATGACTTGTGTTAAGCAATACTCGTAATATTAATTGCTATGTAAATTGCAAATTACAATTCGGTAATAATAGTAGTAGATTCACTGCACCTAGGGACGATACGGGGAAGATCGAACAGTTAATTAGGCAGGTGTTCGAAAACAATACCTATTATTGTCGTACACATCAAGTGCAGACGTTCTTGCACCTGATCAGTACTACGTAACGCATCAAACTGTCCAGTCTAAAAAGTAATTGCGCACCAAAGGTGATTAGGTGACATAGTAATTAAGGTGATGGCAAAGTGCAAGCATAAACTGGCATAAAGGAAGCTGGTACGTGATTTATTATTTTCCTCTACTTGGGTAGAAAAAGAAAATTTTTCGCACTCCTTCTAACGTGCACATTATATGTATATTTTACTGTACATAAAAAGTGAAGAACATATATTGTGTATGACAGCTTAAGTACATAAAAAAATAGCCTCAAATTATTTTCTTTCACTTTTATATATTTCTACGGTCACTGTTAATACATATTAATCTGTTTTGTATACTATTCGCCCTCGGTTCTTGTGAGAGACTCCCTCATCAGGGTAAAATAGGAAAATGTAGAACTTAAAATCTGTGAACAGAAAGTTCGAATTTTATTAATTCTGTCGTAGCGATTCAGAAGTATAGTACCATTCACAAAGCTAAATAGAGGAATGTAGACAAGTTTCCTACCGCGGTAAAAGTCTCCAAAGACACGGGAAAAAATCCACCAGCAGTCAGACAGCACGGTTTCAACGATCTTATCATAATGAATCTTATATCCGATCGTAACGATCTGCCACATTTGTTCATTAGCAAAGTGCTCCACGAACCTGTATATATCGTTCTAGAAATGTTGGTGCTTTCTTCCATCATAAAGTGGCAAGTGTACGTAAGGATACAAAGGTGAATTACGCTGCCAGTTATGTGGAATATGAAAATCAGACGCATCGAAGGATTTGTGTCTGCCTATACATACAATATCGGAGAGTATATTTCTATAGGGTCAGCAATAACAAATTACCGTAAAACATCCACCTCTAAAGACGAACGTTCAGTATTGAAAGCCTTGTAAAGTTTAATACATACCACAAGTATTTCGTAACAATCCAAACTCATTAACAGGCTTAAAACTACTATGTGCGTAAAAATCGTCATGGTATACACTTGTTCCAGCCTCACGCAGAAGTCAATAAGTAACTGATGATGTTGTATACACTTCTTCAGAGCAGCATAACAATGATCGGTGTACGTGTCTGCGTTCATCTCTTTGCCTTCAACGTTCCAGAAATTCAACATTCTGTATTGTAGTATACGAAATTGACCAATCACGTGCAGATTAAAGACGCATAAAAACATTTCGGGGCACACGTACGCGACGCCAATTAAGAATATGCATATCACCTGAACGAATACTTTATTAAATCAATGGTATACTATCCGCAGAAACATAGAATGGTCATTAAGTGTTTAAGCCTACGCAGATAGGTTAAAAGAATTCGCATTTGTTGGGAATTCTTTCCAGCGAGCCTTATTACCACTACAAAAAAAAATCCAATTTATTCGCAATTTGGAAGAACACACCTTTGGAACCTATTTCCGATTAGTTGAAATTTTTAATGTTGGTCATTATTTTAATACTTTAATGTTTGACGTGTTAAATGGAAACGAAGAATGTGTTAATTTACAAATTAATTAGATTAACGATCATGCTATATTTCTACGATAACTATAATCATACGTATTTGTTTTAAAAGGAAAATTAACATCACCTCAAAAGTAAACATTAATTCATAGTACGGTGTCTCGGATATGGGCCAGTCGACCCACATCTTGAATGGAAGTACCCTGTCTGATTTATTTCGTCCAAGGTTTTCTGGAATATACACCAGTAGCAACTTATATATGTATATTCTTTTACAGTTACAACCACAATAGTTACTAATCAAAAAATTGAGAACACACTTGGAAGTAGATCAAAGTATCATTCTTGTATTACGGTCATATTTAATTTAATTCACTTACCAATAAGAGGCGTGATCACATATCCGGTCAAAGTAACTGGCTGAACAGCGAATGCGAACAACACAAACCGTGTGCAATATTTTACAGATATGGAAAAGATCTGTCGTTCCTCGAAATTGTAATTATCATGCCAGAAGTGCCGTTGCGCATAGGAAAAAGCGTCTGCTAATTTAACTCTATTAAAATTTAGGATCAGTATCTTAATTGTTGACATACAGATACACGTCGTGTTCAGTATCAGGAACATACAGTGCTGAAAACTCAATACATTCGTTGATGAGAAAATTTTTCATTAAATACTGCAACAAAAGCAGCTTCACAGATTTTTTATCAACAGAATTTTAAAATAACTGTTTAAAAAGTTATCACTTCGTACAGTGTTAAATAAAAACATTTTTCCTAACGACTCAACCAAGCTCACTGACACTTACAGTTGCATCGCCCCATGTGTGGTAAATATCTACCACATTCACGTATATCCCATACACAAGTCCGACTGCCATGTACGACATGGATATCTTCCTTTGCCGTTCTTCACTCACATTTCGTGGTAGCCATATTCCTGTGTACTTTGTTATATATATCGCTGAAACAATGGAAAAATCCGTGTACGAACTGGTGTCCATGGTGTTCGTTGATGAACTGACTCATTTCCTTTTGACGTACAACGTAGCTGTTGCAACAACATCAAAGACGTCACATAGACATTTAGTGACATGACACCACTGTAATTAATAGGTCACGTCCATAATCTGATACAAAGTGTTCTCCCCTTCTCACTCGCAACCGCGGTCATAAAACATAGGGATGCGTTCATAAGAATGACAGCGGACAGATCAATAGACCAGTGTGATGATCATAAGATGCCGGGATGGATTTTCTTAAACTTCGCAGCAACTTGCTCTGAAGTTTATTCGTGTAACTTAGTTTACTTTAAATTTATACAGAATTTTCATTCTGTCCGTGGCACGCTTTGAATGCAGGAAATCCTTTCCAAATTTGATCAATAGTTTGCAAAGCACAATAGTAAAGTGTGCAGCTACCAAGATAATTGTGCAGTAAGGATGTATATTTGTTAGATTCAATTCGCGAAGTGTACGCAATGTACAATAAACAAGTGTTTGTGTAAACTGTTAGCACACGCCGAGGTGGTTGAAGCGACGACAAGATGTGATGTTAAAACTGGAGCGGGGGATAACAAGATATAGGTATATACTTGCTCAAAATATTTCGGTGTATGTTAGTTGTTTTTTAAATACAAGTAGTAGGGAGATCAAGGCTTTTATACGAATTTCGACTTTCAGGAGGCGCAACAATTAAGTCTTTGATATCACAGCAGGGGAAAAAGTATTTCATGCTATTCATGTCCTGAACACTATATTTTGCTGTATTAATCATTGCAAAATGTACATTAAGCGCGATATATTTTACAGATTGAAAACTATTCACATGTTATCATTTTACAGATTTGTACGTTTCTTATATCCCATTGAATGCAAAATAAGTTCCCTCTTATACTACTCCCCATCGGATCTCATTAACGATTGCCTCATCAGAGTAAAGTAAGAGAATGTAGAACTTAAAAGCTGTAAACAAAAAATTACAATTTTGTTATTTCGATTAGTGTGCCTACAAAGCTAAATAGACGGATTTATATAAAAATCAGTTACCGAGGTAAAAGTTTCTAAGGTCAGAGGGAAAAATCCGGCAGCAGTTAGACAGCACGGTTTTAATGATCTAATCATAGTGAATTTCATGGACGATCGAAATGATCTGCCAACATCATTCATCGGCAAAGTGCTCCAAGATCCTGAATAGATCGAGGTAATAATATTCGTGCTTTCCTCCATCATAAAATGGCAAGTATATGTAACCATAAACACCTGACCTAGGCTTCCAACTCCGTGAAACAAGAAAATAATACGCATAGAAGGACTCGTATTTGCCTGTGTACACATTCAACAGTATATTTGACTACCAACAACAATAAAAAGTTTCTGTTAAGCTTAAAAGCAATCCATAAATAACGTCCGTAGATTTTCGCTATTTCAATACCACACCATTTCCTCGTAAAGACGGACGTAATTTATGAAGTGTTCCTTAAAGCTTACTACTTTAAAACAAAACAACAATAATTATCATTTCTATGTATTAAGCTTGATTACAACGATTTAAGGGAAGCTTGATTACAACGATTTTATTCTAAATAATTGCAATCATTCGACGTAATATTGCACTAAGGACAGAAAAGTAATAAATTAGAACATGTAGCACGGGCGGTTTTGATTTTTGATTATCACACAAGACATGTTCCGTTCACTATCGAAAATGATTAGTGATAAAAAGCTCTGCCCCCACATTTTGTTCCACCCAACTCCATGTTCGTAACAACTTACATTACAAGGTGTATTAACAAAAACGGTAGTTCTCACTGAGACAGTCAACGTACTAACTACATATTTGTTTGAACACCTAGGTACCTGTGATGTTATCAAGCGTGCTGAAGCACATATGTTTATAAATACGTACCACGATTATTTCGTAGGCATCGAAACACAGCAACAGACTTAAAACTACCATGTGCGTAAAGATCGACATGGTGTATACATGTTCGAGCTTCTCGCAGAACTCAATAAGCAACTGATGATGTTTTATGCACTTCTTGAGAGCTGCATAACAATGATCGGTGTACGTGTCTGCGTTCATCTCTTTGCTTTCGACGTTGCAGAAATTTAACATTCTGTGTTGTAGTATGCGAAACTGACCCATCACGTGCAGATTAAACACGCATAAAAACGTTTCGGGGCAAATGTACGCGGCGCCAATTAAGTATACGCTAATCACCTGAACCAATACTATATTAAATAAATGATATAGTAGACGCAGAAACATAGGGTGATCGTTGAAGGTGTGAGCCCACCTTCTTTTCACCGTGAGCCATTAACATTTAAAAAAAGATGGTTTTTTGCTACTATAAAAAATGCATTTTCGAAAAGATTTTCTGATTTGATTGAATTAGTGATGCTTGCCACTGATGATGAGCAAAGCATGCATTAATTGAGAGATTAGGTAATCAGACTAACGACTACGCTATATTTCTGCAATAAGTATGATCATAAATACTTCGTTTAACAGCAAAAGTAACGTTATCTGACTGGCGAAAGCTAATTCGAAATAAGGTGTCTCCGTTAAGGGCAGGTTGACCCACAACTTGAATGGAAGTACTCTGTCTGATTTATTTCTTCCAATGTTTTCTGAAATATGTATGTATCAGCGGCAACTTCGAACTTTTTTACACTTGCAATCACAATAATAAGGTACTTATTAAGAAATGGAAAATGCACCGGCAAGAATGGCAAAGTTTAATTCTCGGATTAGGATCATATTTGGTTTAATTCACTTACCAATAATAGGTGTGATCACGTATCCGGATAGGGCAATTTGAAGAGAACAGATTACAAAGACCACGTACAGTGTACAGTATTTCACAGATATTGAAAAGATAAGTCGTTCCTCGGAATCATAGTTGCCATGCCAAAAGTGTTGTTTGGCGCAGAAAAGGGCGTCTGCGAAACCAGCTCTCTTAGAGTTTAGGATGATCATCTTGATTATTGTCGTAACCAAGCAAGTAGCGTTCAGTATCAGAAACGTACAGTGCTGAAAATCCAATACATCCACAATACTTCAGAAAATTTTTCATCAAATGCTAAGGAAACTATAGATATTTCATCCCTGGAATTTTGATACAGATCCACAAAAAATTATCACTTCGTGTCATGTCAAAGTGAAGGAACTTTGCTAATAAGTTTTATGAATGATTCGTGCCAGCTCATTGACACGCTCACTTACAGTTGCATCGCCCCATGTGTGGTAAATATCTACTACATTCAAGTATATCCCATACACAAGTGCGACTGCCGTGTACGACATGGATATCTTCCTTTGCAGTTCTTCTGCCGCATTTCGTGCCACCCATATCCCTGTGTACTTTGTTAAATAAGTGGCGAAAGCGATGGAAAAATCGGTATACGATCTGGTGTCCATGGTGTTCGTCGATGAACTGACTTATTGCCATTTGACGTACAACGTAGCTGTTGCAACAACATCAAAGACGTCACAAGGATATTCAGTGACATGACCCCAGTGTAATTAACAGGTCACGTCCATAATCTGATACAAAGTGTTTTCCCCTTCTCACTCGCACCCTCAGTCATAAAACATAGGGATGCGTTCATAGGAATGATATCGGACAGATGGAACCATGAATTGTGCAGTGGCATTCTTCGAATGCAGACACCCCTTCTTAAATTTCATCGGTGCTTTGCAAAATATTAAAATGTTCACTATTAAAGGTAATTGTGCAAGAAAGTTGTTCGTTTGTAACGTTCAGTTTACCAGGTATACGAAATGGAAAAGGGGATTTATATTAATTTTTAGCACGAGGTGAAGTGTAGTTGAAGTGACGATAAGGTGTCAAGTTCAAGTTGGAGATAAGGAAAATGGGATATACAGTAAAAGTGTGACAGACGTTTTATTTCGTAACTATTGATGATAGGAAAAATTGTTTATATGGAGATTGCACGGTATATGGGGGCCCATGTTTTGGCGTGAACGAAAATTTATTTACATTATTAGTTTAAAAGATATGATGGTCAAGTTTCGTTTTTTAAATGGAACTATATATGTTTTTTCAGATCATGTGATAGTGCTTTTCAAAACGAATTCATTATGCTTTAATGTATACACCCGATTTTAATTAGTTTTCAAGATATAACCTTTACAAATTTCCCGATTTTCAGTAGATACGTTTCGGTTTGAGTGGCAAGTCGTAAAAGTGGCCCTATTGTAGCGGTCAGTGCCTCAGCGGGGGTCTACCATAGGAACGGCAGACCCAAAGAAAAAGAAACCGCAACAATAGGGCCGCTTTTACGACTTGCCACTCAAACCGAAACGTATCTACTGAAAATCGGGAAATTTGTAAACGTTATATCTTGAACACTAATTAAAATCGGGAGTATACATTAAAGCTTAATGAATTCGTCTTGAAAAGCACTATCACATGATCTGAAAAAAAATATATAGTTCCATTTAAAAAACGAAACTTGACCATCATATTTTTTAAACTAATAATGTAAATAAATTTTCGTTCACGCCAAAACATGGGCCCCCTTGTACCGTGCAATTTCCATATAAACAATTTTTCCTATCATCAATAATTACGAAATAAAATGTCTGTCACACTTTAGCGCGGACACACTGTATACATGCTGAAAAGATTACAACGTATACAAGTTGTTTTTTTGATAATAAGTTGTGAAAAGCTCAAGGCTTTTATACGTATTTTGTCCTTTTGATTGTGTAGCTATTATTCTTCTATATTTCAGTAAGAGAAAAATTATTTCGTATTCTTTACAACGTGCATATTGTATCTTAGTTTATAAAGAAATGTTCTATGTATATTAAGCGCATACTTTAAAAAGTATGAAATCTGTATATTTCTTATATCGAATTCATTTTATATTAAGTTATTTTGTATACTATTCTCCTTCGGTTCGAATGAACGATTGCCTCATCAGGGTATAATAGGAAAATGTTGAACTTAAAAGCTGTGAACAGAAAGTTTCAATTTTGTTAATCTGATCGGAACACTTGTGAAGCTAAACAGAGGAATTTAAATGGAAATAAGTTACCGTGGTAAAAGTTTCCATAGTCACAGGGAAAAATCCACCAGCAGTCAGACAGCATGGTTTCAATGATCTTATCATAATGAATTTCATGATCGATCGAAATGATCTTCCAACTTTATTCATTGGCAATGTGCTCCAAAATCCTAAATATATCGTTGTAGTAATATTCATGCTTTCCTCCATCATGTGATGGCAAGTGTACGTTAGCATACACAGGTAACCCAGGCTTCCAATCATGTGGAATAGGAAAATGATACGCATAGAAGGACTTACGTCTGCCTGCACATATGTACGTTAATATGCATGTATAGTGTCAATAACAAATTTCTATCAATTTTGAAGCTAAATTGAAATCGTCGTTTCTATACAGAGCGTTCAGATTGTCATTATTACAGGAGGCATATCTTCTCCGTTATCAGAAGTGGGTATTGATCGTTCCATCCTATTCTGTGTTCATAAAAAGTTTTACTAAAATGTGTCCTATCACACATGGCAGATCTCATTGTGACAGTCAATGTATTAACTACATATTTGTTTAAACGCTGAGGAACCTGAAATTGAATCAACGGTACAGAAACATATGTACTACATATATACGTACCACGAGTATTTCGTAACAATCGAAACCCATTAATAAACTTAAAACTGCCATGTGCACGAGAATTGACATGGTATACAAATGTTCGAGCTTCTCACAAAACTCGATAACCATCTGATGATATTGAATGCACTTCTTCAGAGCTTCATAACAGTGTTCGGTGTACATAATTCCCTCTATCGCTTTGCTTTCGACATTCCAAAAATTCAACATTCTGTATTGGAGTATGCGAAACTGACACATCGCGTGTAGATTGAAGAGGCATAAAAATAAGTCAGGGCAAATGTACGCGGCGCCAATTAAATATATGCATATCACCTGAACGAACACTTTATTAAATCAATGGTACGGTAGCTGCAGAAGTACAGGGCGATCGTTAGGGGTGTATGTATTTGGGAACATTTATCAGAAAATCCTATTCATTTTTGTTGAATTTCCGATTAATGATCACGCTATATTTCTTTGGTTACTGTTTAGTGTAACAACAAAATTTACCTTACCTGAAAGATGAACATTAGTTCGTAATAAGGTGTCTCAGTTAAGGGCCAGTCAACCCACATCTTGAATGGAAGTACCCTCTCTGACTTATCTCCTCCGTGATTTACTGCAATACAGACGAACAACAGTTTTCATTTACATTAAAGCTTAATGTATACAGAAACGTTTAGGTTGCTTCCAGAAAATAATAAACCTCCGTAACTAATGTAAATTGATTTACTCACCAATGATAGGTGTAATCACGTAACCAAATAATGCAATTGGTAAGGCAAGGAATGCGAACATCACAAACCGTGTGCAATATTTGACACATATGGAAAAGATCAGTTGTTCTTCGGAATCATAATTGTTATGCCAAAAATGCCGCTGTGCATAAAGAAGAACGTCTGCGAATTCAGCTCTCTTAGCGTTTAAAATGAGCATCTTGATTATTGTTACACTGATGCACGTAGCGTTTAGTATCAGGAACATACAGTGCTGAAATCACAACATATCCACTGATCATAAAATTGTTCATTAAATAATTGGACGTTGATTATTATCAAATTAAAATTGAAACTTAACGTCACTTACACTTGGATCGGGCCATGTGTGATAAATATCCATCACATTCACGTATATCCCATAGAGAAGTGCGACGGTCATGTATAATACTGTGACCTTTCTTTGCCGTTCTTCAGCTATATTCTTCGGCAACCATATTCCTGTATATTTCGATAAATATTTCGCAGAAGCGATAGAAAAATCCGTGTACACTCCTTTGCTCATAGTATTATTTGAACAACTAGTTTCTTGATTTGCAATTATAGCGCAACTTCGGTAGCGACTGTGAAAAATGATGCAAAGAAATTGAGTGACGTGACACCTGTGTAATCAACGGAGACCCGCCACCATCTACTGCAATAACCTCCCCTTTCTCATTCGCACCCTAAATCATAAAATATTAAGTTATAGGCGTGGGAACGACCAGCGAACTATGAATTATGTGCATTGGTGGAAATTAATACAATTTTCATACTTCAAACGCAGATGTTCCCCCTTGTAACTGATCAGTATCTTGTAATCCGTCATAGTGTACAATTTAGAAATTAGTCTGACAATAAGAATGTTCGTACGGAATATGGTAAAGTGTCTGTTTATTCCTCACGTTTGGTTTAACGGGAGGTCGGGACAACTTGAGGATTGGTAATGATGTCCAAATAAATTGACCCGTTGCAAATCGTATTCGTAGTTGATTATAATTTTTAATATTATAAACAGTTCGGTTAGTAACTAGTTTTCGGAGCTTATCCGTTCGACAGAAAATGTTTTCGATGTATGAGTTGTTTCACGAGAGTGGTCTGAACTACAATGTCTAATTAGGGAACTTGCTTCAGGTTTTTATATTCTGGGCAAGGAGTACAATTTTCGGATGAGCCATGCCTATTGGCCTGATTTTTGTGGAGGTGGAAAATATTCCTTCTTCGTTATCAAGGGTGCCTTAGTGACGTACGCGGTGGGTCCGCGTGTACTCGGTGACCGTAGCGAGCAATAAAACTAAGCAATACCTCGACATGAATAGAAAACTGCAAACAAAGGCTCTACTGCTAAGGTTAAGGGTTCTGGCAACCAGATGTGACTAATAAACCAAATTACTAGATAGGATGTAACGATTCCTTGGGTTTTATTGCTGCTACAGGTAAAAATCTATTGATTTGAAAAAATGTATGCTGGTTGAAAGCAAACTTGAATTAAGGTCTAATCCTATCGTAGAATATTTTATTCTACTACCTGACAAAAATTAAGTTAATAACTCGTCGAAACTCGGGTTTACGAAAATGAACTTCATAATGGGTATTGTTGGTGCGACCCGACAGTGTCTATGTAGGTGAACTTTCAGTAGAAGATATAAACCTGCTGGAAAGATTCAATGTATAGAAGTGATCAAACTTTTGCAACAAGCTTCCACTTAACATATAATTTGTTCTTCTGGGCTGGATTAAGAAAAGAAAATGTTTTATTTTCTTCATAGTATACAGAGTTTGTATTTTTTGTTCAAGAATTAAGTGTGGTTACTTCTATATTGCTTACTGTACAGACGTACGCCTTAAATAATGTCAAAAAATGGGAATTTTGTTTAATTAGGAATTGGAATAGATCAATGCTTGTTTAAAAATTCTCATACTTAAGATGAGATCTTTTGCTGCAATGAGGTTAATTGTTATAACAAGAAACATCACCCAAATGGTACACGCTAATTTGAATATCTTTTTAATATGTTATATTAAAGAAAATATTTTGTTTTATCCTCCGAATCATTCGGTGGAAAAGGAAATAGCCCTTAAAACTGAAATATTTCTTATAAATTACATATTGATACTACATAACTTTTAAGATACTACTTTTATTATTGTTGTTGTAAATCGTTGTTTTCTTCCATTGTTCGTAACAAGGTGAAGTAGGACGCTGTTGCGCTTAATACCTACAAAAATGAAGGCAAAAGGTAATTGTATTCATATTTGTATGTTTCAGGATAATGATATGAAATACGGAGTACATATTATGAAAATAGTTACCTTCATGAACAATTCCAAGGAAATTGGAAAGAACTTTCCTGCCGTAAGATGACAGGATTGTTTCGATCGCAAGATTACCGTGAGTATATCCTTTCTAAACTTGTCGAATCTTTGTAAGAACTCGTTTCCCAATTGTAACTATATATTGCTTCTCCTACAGCATTGCTTTCCACTATTATATTCTTACTGTTATACGTTATCAAATATATTTGGAAAATGGCACCGAAAAAGTAAACGAAGAATAATAATCTCTTCATGGACCAGTCAATCTTGAAATAAAAAATTAACACATTCTTCCTATATTTATTTAATACAACATTTCGTAATTTATATTTAATTTATCAGCAAATATTCTCAGCACAACTTTTGGCAAATGGGCAAATTGTATTCTCACTAAACATTCAAGCAAAGTTTAATTTAATTTTGTAAGATGACAAGTGGAAAGTAAAAACTGAAAAATGAAATGATTCCGTTTTAAATAATTACAATTATTAATATTCTTACCATGCAGAGTTGGAATCCTGAGATAGACAGCACTATACTAGATATTACCAATTGACCCAATAATGGGAAACGAAATGTGCATTCCAACCTTTTTACGTAGAGAATAAGTAATTGATGGTAGATGATACAGTTCTTGAATTCACTGTTCACTGTGACTTGTTTTCTTTTTAAATAATCATGGTCAAATATCGTTTGCAATTTGACGTTTATGCACAGCATGCACAGGAAGTTGTCGAAACAACAGAAATAACCGGTCGCATTGACAACTAAGAAAATCTACAAAAAGAAAGAAAAAGTATTTTGATTTATTTCTAATTTTTAATTCAATCAAGCACCACGCGATTTAACAGTTTGAATTTAATTTTCACCTAATATTTTCGTCACGCCTACCTCTCTTACAAATATTATCTCATAATATGGTGATCTAAGGCGCTCATCTAAGGTGTGTTCTCTCATATAAGGACGAAAAGTCGAATCCCGTAAACCCATGTTTAGGCCCATTTTTGCCGGTAAAGTAAACGCGCTACTATTACCCGTGTCTACCCCTTTAAGCGAAACGGGAGAACTCTGTCCGTTCCTTTTTTCCCTACGTTCTCTATTTAACAATTTTTTCGCAATTAACTCGTTGAAACAAGTAAATTTAACCATCATACTCATGTCTCTAAACAATAATATAGAAGCTTACCAATGAGCGGAAATATGACGAACAAAACAGGTAACGCGAAAATGAATGTAGTAAAGGTACACATATGTACAGAAGGTGACTCGTTTGTCCACATCGTTTAAAATACTCTCTTCGAAAACACTGTATTCCTTGTACCAAAAATATTCTTTAGCACACTTGATCAACCACTTTACTTCATTGATCACTTTCATCAGTGTCACGATTAATGGTATCGTGAGGCAACCTATGAATGTTAATTCCCGCAAATTTCTTCAAATTAAAAAATGGTATCACGATTTGACAAATTAAAAAACAGCACAGGATAAAATTTCTTGGTAATCTTTCACATTTACACACGTAAAGATCGTCGCGAGAATAATAAAGATCCAGTGCTTCGTTCCATAAACATCCAAAAAGAACGAGTAACATGTACGTGAAATTGATACGTAATCGAAGTCGTTCCTTTTTCGTTTGAACGTCCCAAAAGCCTATTACTTTCATACACGTTTGAGTGAACCTGATTGAAAAATACTTGGACGAGGTAATGGCCATTTTCGCATCTCTACTGTCAATTCCTTTGAACGTATTGCCAACACGACTGAAGATATTGATCACAAGGATTGACATTTTTAATGATACAGGTGTCACATCAACTAAACACCCTTCAATCCGTCTACTTTCTTTGTATCTGAATCATGTATTCAACATGGACATCCACAATGTGGAAAGTGGAATAATGATGTTACTCAAACTTCTGCTTTCGTATTGAAAGGTTGCAAGAAAGAAGAAAATTTTTCTTTTCTATATGTGCTAAATTTATCACTTTCAAAAGAAATAATTAGCATATTGATTTTCTAATAATCTTTAAAAAAATATTTGGAATGTGCAAAATTTATAATCGCAAGAATTGCAGTGTAAATAATCCCAAATCTGTAAAAAAGAATTAAAAAGTGATAAATTAGAAAAAATATTGTCAAAATGCAACGATATAAATATTCTATCATTTTTATATTAAATTCATTAAATATCCTAGAACTTTAAAGTAATATTCTATAATTACCAAAAATACTAATTTTTATTCATTTGTATTTTCAGAAGAGCATTTCCCTACCGTTCCATTAAATTGGACCTTAAACGCCTTAGAAGTTTTCCAGTCATTCCATATAAACTTTGCAAAAAATGGAAACAAGAAAGGAAAGAAACACTTTAGTACAGCCATTATGGTACCATATTAAAAGATCAAATATTTTACAGCGGAAGTGTTTTATTATATACATATCCTTTTATCATTTCCTTTGAGAAAATACGTATACTTATTCGCAACTTGTTATATTTAATCCTCAGTGGGACACGATTCAGTGTCGCGACCGTTTCTATCGTCGAATCACAGGAACAATTTTCGCTTCGAAAAGGGAAAAGAATAAAGATAGAGAAATGAAAATTTATTGCTACATCCATCGACTGGTGTCAAAGCCACGTGGACGAAATATGTTCGAGGCTCTACACTTCTACCCACACTGAATCGTGGTCCCGTAACAATGCCGGACGTTATTAATGAAATGTACAACAAAGATCACCCCATCGTATATAATAATTATTTAGGTATCTTGGGGCTCGAATCGCATAGTGTACTATTTAATTCGGTTACAGTGAATAAAAGGGGTGGGGCAAGAGGTATCGACATTGGTAACGTTGTTTCCATCCTTTTTTTTGTGTTTGTTTCATTTTCTTTTCGTTTTTTTTTCTTGTTTTTTTTTTTTTTTTTTTTTTTTTTTTTGTTTGGTACATATTACACACCTCGATAGAATATTAAAACACTTATTCAATTTCATTTTGCAAACATTTCCTTACCTAGTATGTTTCTATTATTTCATTGTTATTTCGGATAATGCCGTTTATCCATATAACACGTGTTACCCATCAAAGCAACGAAGAAACTGAACTGAAACGATTCACTTATTATTTACATACGTTTATTCGTGTGGTAGATTATGCCCGTTTTAACCGAGATACTTAACGTGTACGAATACATATACAGCTTGCAATCTGTCGAAAATCTTTTCGGTACACCCTGATTAAGAATTTATTCAGTGCCTGAATTTTTACAGTAAAGATGACGATTTCATTCCTTTTCTTTAAAAATATTAATAATATTAGGGATGTGAGGATATTTTTACACTTTGACAGCTTTTATAGTGTACGCTACAAAATTACCAATTTTTAAACAAAAAATATTACATATTGAAGTCATATAAAATATAACACCAATCGTCAAAGTGTCAAGAAAGAAAAGAATGAATGAAAAATTTAAAGTGTGATTGTAAAATAGTTGTTACAAGAGTCTGATCATTTTTAGATGAAGATGAAGACTGAGTATTGAAGAATATAACGATATCAATTTATTTATTGAAATGAGATCAGCCAATCTTCGTATACACAACTTCAAATGATGCCTTGTTAATTAATGATTACTTAGTCATTACCATCGGTAGTGTAGAATCTCAAAATCTTAGAATGGAAAGAGCCTATTTGGATTTTCAGCAACAAGTGGTTAAATATTATTCCACTCAAATAACATTTCAAATTCAATATGTATTGATTGTCCCAATAGTCACGATTGAAATTAGAGAATAAAATTATAAATCTAACAACAAGTACTTCTATTTTCAGATTCTCATGAACTACATATGAGTCGCATATGGATCTCAGGACAGTGAATATGTTTATGGTGCTTATTAAAATATATCATACCACATATGGCAGTTTTTACTGTGGCAGTTAACACGTTAATATTCCAACAGCAAACGTACGCTATTACACAAAATAAATATCGTTTATTCATTATCCTCTCGACCGAAATGATGGAACATTGAATAACTTCTGAAAAGGGTGTACAAAGATTTTCTCGACATACTGTACATTATTATCAAAGAGAGCAGAATTCTGTCTAAGCTGAATAAGTTTGTCCTCCGACAAACTCGATCCTCGAATCGTTCAACTGAAGAAAGAAATCGGTGCATTTCCTCTCGTCGTCTTCAACTACATATTATATGTATATATAATATTTATTGCCATTCCTTCGAAATGCGTGAAACTATTAAAGGGCAATCGCAACGTTTCATTAAATACAATACGTGCAAAATGATCACTTTATTTAGATCACCGTTGATCACCGCAACCAATTCCTGTTTTAATTTCGTTTCGTGAAAGCTGATCAAGCGAAGCTATCCAAATCTAGCACTTAAACTTAACGTACATACGTTAATATATGGTTTAACTTTTATTTATTTTTTTTTATTTATTCCTAATTTTTTTTCCTACGGTTAACTGATAGTGTTCATCTAAACGCTGAGATCCTCACGAAAGCGATTTCCTCTATGTCTATTTGAGAATTACACGTGTCAACCTAATTACGATCGATGAAAGGAAATCGAAGATAAATTAGAAACTGTACGGCTTAACGATACTTGTTCGGTATAATTACGTTTTTGTTTTGTAATAACGTGTAAAGCTCGAAACGGTGACTGGAAACGGTGTTTTTTATATTTCTACGTTAACGAGAGGCTGCATTGATAAACTGTCCTGACAACAGATCACAGTTCAATCATATTTTTTAAACAGAATGTTTGATTAAAAAAATGCTCAAACTTGATCATCATTACATGAACATTCGTTTTCGAGGCAATTCTGTTACAGACCTGTCTTTTCCTGTTTCTCCTTCTTTTTTATCGCATTTAATTAGTGTGAAGTGATTTATCAAAGATATTTCAACAAAAGGAGAATCGTAAGGTACCTTAGACTGTAATAAACACAAGACTATAATAAAAAGTTACAATGTAAACTCTAGAAGTATAGTTGTGAAAACTGTACCGACGCAAATGGTGGAAAAAAGTGAAAAATTGCAAAAGTTACGTCAGAGTAATTATAATAGAATAAGAAGCTTATTATACACAGTATTTCTCTAATCTGTAACATTCCGAAGTTCCATCGTTCTTCGAAATATTCGAAGCTTCAATTTTTTATTGTAAATTTATAGAGAAATATTTGGTTACCTTAGCCCGTGTAAATTTCCATGTAAATCGATAATAAATCATTTAATAATACGTCGATAATGATATAATACAATATTCCTCTAAAATTATCGTTTATTTACACGCTTCGCATCGAAAAGTCTAATCGAATTGCATAGAAAAATATTCGATGAATCGTCAAAGATGTAGAGACTCTTGCGGCCATCGTTCACGTTGGAAAGTTTTAAGAAAATTTCGTTCGAAAATTTTCATCTTTTCCTTTTTCGTAGAATTTTTACATGAAAAAAGTGTCAAGAATTTTCGCACGAAATACGCGTTTAGCTTCGCATATGATCAAGAAGTCTTCGAAATTTTTCCGAAACCACGATGCATTGGCCCCTTCACGTTTAACATTTAAAAAAAAGACTTTAATCATATTGTACAATCAACATATCGGCAATAAACAGTGTCAATTCAAATCCGTCGAAATGTAAATGTCTTCCCAATGACCGGTCAAGCGTGCAAGATTACAAGCGTCCCACATAGGAAAACAATGTAATCGATCAATCGCTATTCGATTTCTTTGTGCTGTTGCATTTCGTAATTGTATAAACTAAGAGAATGTCACATAATAGCGACAAAACGGAAGTGATCTCAATTCTGATACCTACTAGGCTGTTGCATATCAAACGATCGATTTCAACGTTATTGAAGTCTGATAAAATTTGATGACATAAAAGTATTGCAAAATAGCACTTATGGCACACTAAATTAAATCTTAAAGTACAACAAAAAGAATTACATAAGGGTTTCATTGATATTCTTATTACAAAATGGATGGCTGTTAATTATTATAAACGAGGTATAAATTTCCAATATGGAATTGTATGGTCTCGAATAAAAACCCATTAATTTTACTATATAATTTTTAACAATTTGCAAATTTACTACAATTTAATTAATTAAAAATTGATCGTTTTATCTGCAACAATCTAATATTCGAGAATCACGAGACTCAAAATACTTTTCTCTAGATTAACAATAAACAATAACTTCAATAATTGTGCTGAAACGTTAAAAATATTGCTGCCTATGGCTAACAAATGTCGGAGAATTTGTGCTTCGTCGAATGTGTGCGATCGAGTATCGATTTCACGATCGATGCATACTTTGCTTCTTACCCTTACGATCTATATGTATAACGCAAGAATTTTTAACACGAACTCGTTTTAAATGAAAATTTATAGAAATTACAATGATTCTGTAATCTGCAGATTATCAAAGGATCAATGTATCATAAACAAGACTTTCAGTTATCCCGTTGTAAGTTGGAACAATAACCAAGGACCGTAGCTTTCTCTTAACTTATGCAATTAATTAATAATCCTTTGCACTAGAAATTTTGTAAATACGATTCGAATAATTACCTAGACGTTAAAAGAATTTTTTATGCCAATTTCTCCCTTATGTTGGAAAGGTATACACTACAATTCTCCAGTTATTCATCCGCGTAAAAAAATAAATATATAAAACGCGTAAGCTAAAACGAATCATCGACCGACTGCGTACTTTGAAAACTTTCATTCAACAATATTTTTTTTTATTTTTATATGTATTCGTCCGCCGTGAACGACAGCATAGGAACGGAGCTGGAGATTAGTTGATAATCGATTCAATCTCGTTTGCAAACCCAATTGTTGTTGTGTTAGGAAATGCTGGCTTGACAATTAATTAGCCAGGTTAATGAATCACTTATTTCTTAATGAATCGTGACTATTTCTTACACTAAACCTTACGACAGAATGATTCTAAGTTTGGTACATAATGTATGTATGTAGAAATTGAGAGCATGTTATTCTTGTAATGTGACTCGGTAAATTATCTATAACTGTATTAATAGAAATATGTCCTTGTTTTGTACAAACATTTCATTGATAATTTTTTCATTTCACACAAGTCGACTTTGATAAACGCTATGCACTCGTGTCATCGATGAAGTATTTCAATGACGTGATGACTTTTCTTTTTACAAGGTATTCCAACGAGAAAATTTATGGATTGCAGCGTTAATCACACGAAGAGAAGAAAATATATATGTATGTATTATGCGCACATAGGTAAAGATTTTTACAAAACTGAACGACAGATACAAATCGTTGCTTCACTGTTGTTAATTAAAAGTGTTACATTCATTTGAAACGTTTGATTAATTTCTATGCAGAAAGTTTTCTTCAAAGTCGACCTTTAGATTAAATTAAAAATAATTTCGCATTTTTTAATTAGAATTAATTATTAGAGAATCTTAAATGATACTACTCAAGTGGTACAGTCGGTAAAATGAAAGTGTAGAAATCCTTCACATATCACTTTTCCATGAATTTTTCATGATTTCACTTACATAAAATATGCAAAATACTTACAATTAGAATCAGCAAATAAGTTATACGCCTATAAATTATTACACAATATACAGAGAGTACCTAGGTTCTCCACCAGACGACATTACAAAAACTTTTGCATTCATCTAATACCACTTTGTCCCTACTTCTATTCACAGGAAAAACCAGAAATATTCTGTGTACTCTCTCAAGCTCTCAGACCAAATTTAGAATCAAACCGTGCATTTGTACGAGAATAAATGTGCAATCTCTTCGATTGGAGACGATGAAGTAAACGTTATATTTCATTTAAGAAAATGAACCAGGCCAGTTAAACGTCACGCAAATTTTCCGATATATACAATTAACCAATTACATTCTCCTCTGTTTCTGTTCCATTGGAAAGGTCATGGCGTGACCAGCATTACCGGAACAAATATTAATAACAGCAGATGAATGTCCAGCATTTAAAACGCCAACGATATTACAGACCACATTATTTGAAATGTATCAAACGCTGGAGTATTTACAGTATCAACAATATCATTTACAACGACGTTAAATATGAAAACAGATGAATATTAATTCACTGCTTCAAATCATTAGTATGTATATGTATAATAGGAATAACCCAAAAGAAAATATATGAACAGTACCGCATAAATATTCCCAAATATTCTTTTGTAAAATATATTAAAATATATACGGTTCTATTAAGAAAGAAAAAAAAAAAAATGATACTCATCACGCAAAGACCTTTCAGAACGCTGTTAGTTAATATTTTCCTATCATAAATGCAGGAAATGTATCTCGTAACATTCAACCAACAAACAACGAGCACTTGCAACGATCCGAATCAATGAGACTTATAATTCCCGATAAAACAACGAATAAGAACGAAGACAGCGGCGTTGTATACGATAAACAACATAGCAACGATATACATACTTATATATACGATTAGTTACATATGTACATAGAGACAGCAGATAGACGTATAGTTTCACGTGTGTACAAGTATACGATATAATATAAATGTTACATCCTTACGGTTTAGATCGTTAACTTAGATGCTTAGTCACGTTTTTAGTACGTATACAGTCGCTTCTCGAGATTGCGATAATATTCCTCGACGTGTGCCCTTCGTTCAGCAACTTTCTGAATCTCTGTTGCTTCTTCTCGTCACCCACGTTCGTCGTACCGTGGTTCTATTCTTAACAATTGTCCCCTTACGCTAAGAGAACCGTCAGGCGACTTATGTATTTGTTTGTTGGCATCGTTGAGCCGCAATATCGATATGAATAAGTACTTATCTCACGACCGTCTACATTTTTTTCTTTTTTACATCGCACGTTTTCTGTTACATCTAGATCCTGTCTCGCCACGTATAAAAACCTTACGAAAATAGTTGTTCTATCATAAAACCCCGCAGCTCTTACGACGTACCACATTACTTCTTATAAAGGTTCGATTTTTTTTTTTTTTTTTTCTTCTTAATTCTCACCAGTAATTACAACGCGACTACCGTGAAATCTTCTGTTTCCATCTTGTCTGGTCTTCGTTGATCATTGGAAGTCGAACTGACATAGCGGTTCCAGTGATGGGTATTAGACACTCGATAACATTCGTAAACGGCAAATTTTCGTGAAATAAAAATGATAAAAATTATAAAATTAAATTTAATTTGTCACCGTGTAAGAAATGTTGGAATGATAAATAATTTAAAACGATTCGAAAATCCGACTATTTTTGCCACGTTCAAAGTGATCGTTACCCATCACTACCGACAGTTTCTTTGACTCCCAATTAGGTACTATTTTTTCATCTTTTTCACCCGGATCATTCGCGTGGGAAACGATCCACAGCCTCGAGGAAGAGTGCTACGTGAATGGCCGATTGAAGTCTCGTAAAAGATCAATGAGATCCTCGTTAGAAGCCGCTAGCAAGGAACAATTCCTGAATTGTCCATTCTCGATCGTCACATTGTTCGTTCTCTTCTTTTCGAAGAATCCGTGTTCCATTTCTCCGTTATCCGCGGATTCAAACGAGATGCGGTCAACGAACAAGTAGGTATGCTTGTATAATTTCCCTACGATTGAAGAGATCTAAGAAACACGAACACGTGCGTGTGGCAAATGATCGACGATCCTCTGCCTTTTACCTGACATGTTTCAATGATTTCTGATAAATGAATGAAATTGAATAGAAATGAAAAAAAACAACGGCTTCCTTGTCGATCATTTGTCGCTGGTACGTAATAACATGGTCTCTGAACTAGCTCGTAACAGGAGCTGCCCTCCCGGAGCGTAATAGATCGTTATTGTCGCCAGTGACCGCGTTAATTCGTCGCACACGTAATCGATTGAGAATAATCCGAGACAAAACGGTAAGTCGGTCACTTTCGCCTTTCTCCGGGTCATATATGTATGTAGAATGTAGACACACAGACGGATGGATAGTTTGGGTGTAGAGGGGAGATGTGGTGGGAGATGAACGAGGATTAGTTGGGTGGAGCCCGGCAACGCTGATAAAGACGAAAGCTTGTTAACTGTTAACACGTTCACTGCTGTACCTTTCCTCTTCTATTGATTTCAATTATTTCCAATTCGATTTAGAATAGCAACCCTTTAACATTGCTTCAAATAAGAAAATCAGATATAGAGAGATTCTGATGGAAATAGTGGAAAATTGATGGAAATATCAGCTTAGTTTGCAAACTGATATTGAATAAAGAATTTCCTATACCAGAATTGTGACATGGATTCTATATGGGCCGTATTGCAGTGAACGCGTTAATCGTTCGATTGGATCAATTAAACTAGGCGCGTCCCGCGCATTCTGTTCCGCATGGTCGACACACGCAGGATCAGCTTAATCTTAATCATCACGATAAACCGTGTTAGGCGTGTATCAATATAATGGCACCATAAGAAGTCCCCAAAAAACGACTAGATCGTTCTAACGTTCCGATAAGAAAATATATATGTATGTGTATATTACTTGTTGGAGCCGACCGTGCTACGGTAATAAGTACAAGTGTATAATACGTAGTTATCTGCTTTTTTCTCATATGCGGAGGTAGTGTTTTAATCAAAGTTCGATTAACTATATAGCTCGTCCTCTTTCTCTCTCTCTCTCTCACTCTCTCTCTCTGTCTCATATTTCCTCTCGTTCGCTCTAGTACACGGCTAATACCGGTACTTGTGTGTAAGGTAACGTTAGGTGTTATGCAATTAGTGTCGCTTAAATCGCAGCATGCAATGCACGGATAAATTTCTGTGTTGCAATAGCCTAAAGACTTACGAGTAGTAAATCGTCGAGACGAGTCGACGGTGCGCGCTGCTTTTTATCATTTTTTTTTTTTTCTTCGCGCACCCTTCCCACCCTTCGACGGGAACGACGTGCAATTATAATGGACGAGCGTGTCGAGTGCTCAACTACTCTCTCGAAATTAATTGAATGTATCCGAGTTACGATCGGCGAGTATCACGAACGACTAATTATCGCAGGTTAACCGTCGATCAAACACCCCCCTGCAACTACCTACTTCGCCTATTCTCGCGTTCCCCCTACCCGCCCCTGTCACCTATCTCGCTAATTACAATCAAACGACTCGGTCCCTCTTTGTTCGTGGATTCCTTAGAAATCTAGAAAGATGTTCGTGAAAAAGAAAAGGGGGGTGGGGAAAGCCTCGCGAAGCCTATCCGACGGACGTGATTTCGAGCAAGGAATCCGTGACAACGGCGAGCAGAGAGCTGATTTTTATACTCTTAACGAAATAGAATATACAACGCGGTGAGAATAGAAAATGACGGTAGCCGAGAAACGTTGTTTCTCCTCGTCGATAACAACACAGGAACCGGGAGCCAGAAATGCTCCCGGGATAGCCGCGTCGTATCACATACGAACGCGGCTGAAGAAACGGGCGATACATTCGCGGATAGAACAACGCTGGGTATCATCGTTGAACCTCGTGTCGGCGACTTCCGATCCGAGTGACAATCGTCGCGATCACGCGTGACCCAGAATCTCGGACCGGCTCACTTTGAAGCCCGTTCCGGGCAGTCAGCCTCGGAATACCCGAACATCAACATCTCCACGACAAGCCGGTTGATTTAGACGCCAGTGTGATTGAATATGTAGGACACGTTGCTCTCCTGGTGCACCGGTGGTCCGTGGAAGGTACGCCTGGTCGAGGAATTGTTGTTGTTGTTGTTCACGTAATACGAAGATTTCCTCATGCTCGTCGACGAGGACATCATCGCTACCGTCTCGTAGTACCTGATCTTGCCGCAGCAACGTCCGCTCTTCAGGATCGCCACGAAGCCGCGACGATATTTCTTGTTGAAGAACGCGTACAGAATCGGATTAATGCATGAATTACTAGCGCCGAGCCATTGAGCTATCGGCGTCGCGATTGGCAGGATTTCGTCTTCCCTTTCGACAGCGTCACCGCCGAGCTTGATCACCGTGAAGATCACGTAGAGAGGCAGCCACGAGAGGACGAAGAGGATCACCACGACTACCAGCATCTTCACCACCTTCACCTTCGACTTTTGCTGTATCCTCTCCATCTGGGCGTCTTTCGTGTCAGTTGGTATATGCCTTCGCCAGACCTTGATCCATATCAGTATGTAACAGAGAGAGATTAGAATCGTGGGAAGTACGTAGCAGAGCGTAAGATTGCCGATCAAGAAGAAGAGAGTGCCGTCTTCCGGGTGGGGCCACACCTCCAGGCAAAGTCTTAGGTCTGGATCGTCGTCGTAAATGGCGACCAGGTCAAAGAATAACAGCCATGGTGATGTAGTTGTCAAAGCGATGAACCAGATCACGACTATCATCATCCTGGCACGCCTCTTCGTTATTTGGCATTTCAGTGGCCACCAGATGGCCAGGAACCTGAAAATACATCGATGAATGTTAGATTTATTCAGAATTCAAATTCAAAAACGAAAGTGCCATCTTCAGGAGCTGTTTAACTAATTTTTACAATGAAAGCGATGAAACGATATGGTGGTTTCAGATATGGATACGATAGTACGACAATCGACGTCCTGACATTTGAACTTAGCGAATAAGTCGCATCGATGATGGAGGAACCGTACAGATTTTACGATACTGAAGCAAGAGAACCGTGCCTTGGAACACCCACCCGATCGTAGGATCGTGTGACACAAAACGTAACCGTCCATTTTTATGCCTCCATTATGGAAATGTATATTCTATTCGTGGTTTCGAAAGACACTTGAGCCTGTTACGCTTCGGCGATCACGAGAGCTGCGTTAGAATAGATACAGCAAGGCCCCTTATACGACGCAAAGGCATTCCACATTCCCTCTATCGTGGTCTATGAAACGAGCCATGGTTCGATAAGGTGTCGTTCGTCAGGAATTTATTAAGCAACTATCCGCAGATCTGAACTGAATTTCACCCCGGAAATTCAACCCGTCGATGTGGGGAACTTTGCTTATCTGCAATCAATTGGGCAATTCATTTTGATCCATTAATAGGTTAATTTAAAAAAAGTGGGTTGCAACATGGATTCTTTAGGTTTGAAGAGAGAAGTTCTGAGTAAGGTTTTCCTTAGATTTTCTTTAGGCTTTTCCTAGATTTGCCTTAGGCTGTCCTTAGGTTTGCTTTAGGCTCTTCCTAGATTTACCTTAGGCTCTCATCAAATTTGCTTTAGGCTTTTCCTAAATTTTCCCTAGGTTCCCTCAAGTTGCTTTAGGCTCTCCTGGATTCCTCCTGGCTTTTCCGAAAATTGACAGCGAATACACCCTAAACATTCTTCCGCCTTACCGAAACCAATCCTGACCCTAACTCCAAAAAATATCCAATGATATCAATACCAACGTCTGAATAATTTTCTCATAACACTCGATCCGATTGCATTCCACTAAACGCAAAAAAATGAATAGCATGCCCCAAAAACAAGTTCCTGGGGATGTTCTCTCGTTCGTAATTAAACGAAGTTCTAATTCGTTCTGCAGAACAATTCCGTTTTAGAGAATCCATCGCACCGAGCGTGGAACGTTTCGAGACCATTAACGAGCGTGGTCCGTTGGTTCTGAACCGTTACCGCGAAGGACCTCGCTTTTCCTCGACGTTGCTTTTAATCAGAAAGCTTCACAGTCGTGTCCTTCGATTAAACGAAGACCAGCATTGTCGTTGTCGACGCTGAAGAGTCCTTCTATAAATCAACTTGCTACGATACCGATCTAACAGCGATTCACGTCGCTCGATACTTCCGCGCGTCCCTGCGGCAGTTTGCATATTTACTACACACAGAATCACCTAGACGCGATGATACATGGCGAGAAGGACGTGAGAAAAAAATCGATCGATTCGCGGATACGAATTATCAGGAACGATCAAGGTTACAGAGTGGGAACGAACAATGAAGATGACACAGCTTCCGACACGTTCATATATAAAGAGTTCGATTTCTGTGGCGCTAACAGCAGTATCGATTCCACGTCCCTTCGTGTTTACGAACGGAAAAGCCGATAAAACGTTTAACATGTTCAAGCTGGCAAGTATATCTATCCGTATATCTGTACACGTTCACTTAGCCGCTTCTATCTGTCCACGTGAAAGTGTTGAAATGAAATTTTTCATTTGTTACGTTGGTAAATACGCTAGCTATCAAAAATACTGGAACGCCTATCCGTAAGACGCAAAGTGACATTTTTGAAATAATTTTTAATATCGGTTTATGTATCGAATGAACTAAATACGCAGATAATAGCTCATTTGACATAACTAGCTCCATAAATCTTCTACCAGCTGAGCATTATTAATTGAATAATCAGAGCAGCTACACAAGTCCTGTTAATATGCTTGTACTGCTAATAGTCATGCATTGCACAATAGCAATTTGTAATGGGTACCTATAATCAGAAACTCTAAACAAGTTATTATTTCTATCCTAGAGCCAAAGGTGTATTGAAAATAAAATTATCAACTGAAAATATGCTCAACAATTTCAAATACTCTTTGAAGTATTAAAACTTCTAATATCAACTTGTCAATTAAGTGTAGAATATCTTATTTTTAATTTATATCTTTTTTAATGGCCAACAGATGATCATCTTAGCCGTGGCCATCTTGGCAATCTCAGCGGCACCAGCACCGATACCACCAGTGATCTCTCATCCTCTGGTCTACCCAGAGTCTTACGTGAAGGTGTTACCATTGCACCCAGCCACCTTGCCTCTATCTTACCATCATGGATACAAATGGCTTCATCCCGGCTCTGTCTACCTCTACTAATAACAAACACCATAGAAATTCTTTACGCACAATCCCTATACACGCACTGACCCGTATAAAAACCCGTTTTTTCTACCATTCTGAAATGCCTGTAAAATAAAGCATGCGGTGGCCGCAGTGACTGCAGTCAAATCGAACTTGTTCCAAACTGTTTACCAACTTTATTTCTCCATCTTTTATGCTGGTTGTAAAAGCCGCGAGGCGGTTGGCAGCCAGCTTCGAGCACCGTTTGCCGTACGAATTCCTGTTTCAGTCTTCGGTTTCGATGGAGACGATAGAAATACATACTGGGGGCATACCGATAGCAAGTATACTGAGAACGTTTACTGGAAGGGTGAAATCCTTTCTGTAAAAATAGTTGGTCGTGGTCGTAAAAAGAAGTATATACTCGAAGGTTGGACTCGGCGATGAAGTACTAGGATCTAGCTGTTTCATTTATACAGTTATCTGCATATATTGACAGCACGGAAACTCGTTGGTGTCGGTTTGTCGTAACACGGTTTGTCTCGGTTTGTCGCGTCCTCTTCGATATTCCCTTTCGTTCGTGGGGTGAATGCACGTCTCGAGATCGCAGACGAGTTAGGAAAGTTCGATCTGACCGCGTCGCCTAATCTCGATAACTCTTTCTTCACGATCGCTATTCCGTGTAACTGCTTTCCAGCTCGCTTCGACTCGATGGGGGCTCGAAGGAATAGGATTCGTGTTTACCCTGTACGACGAGAAGTAGTAAATTCTACATGTTCGTTTGTTTTTTTTTTTTTTTTAAATAAAATTTTATTAAAATTCCATATGACCAAAGGGGGAAGGGTCCTGGATGATGGTGCAATGATTGAGATGCGAATTTCCGAATTACATTGATGATCTTGGGAGCCGCGGATGCTCCGAAAGGAAAGATGCTAGCGGATACGATTCAGACGCTTGATCCTGGTCGTTTACGGGTCCTGGACGTATCCCGAATTTTCCCGCGCCCGGAATCCAATGTCCTCGATGATGATTGCCGAGAATGGAATCTATGCTTTTCATGGTATTTTTCGTTGTCCAGTTTTCTTCTTCCAGCTAGTCGTCTTTCCTATTGATTCTTTCGTCTTTTTAAAGAAGGGACGATCGTACGAGGAATCAAGGTGGGTAGAGGGGAAGGGAGGGAGGTGTATGTGTGTGTATGTGTATGTGTTTTTCTAGGGGGCTGTCTCGTCGTGACTTGGTGGTAGAAAGATAGTATCAGCTGTCATCTAATGCAAGCCATGAGAAAGAAGGGGCAATGGGGCGGCGGTGAGCACGGCTTTGGTGACGATGGGAGCGGTGCGAACGATTGGGGCGACGGGTTGAGCGATCACGTGGGCAGCAGCGAGAGCCGGGGCATGGCTGAGAACCACTGGAGCCGTGATCGGGCCAATTCCATGGTCACCGACGATGCCGGTGAGACCACCAGGAGCAGCAGTAGCGACAGCCAGAATGGCGGCGAGAACAGCCTGTGGGAAAAGTAGCACGTGCGATTCTTAGCTCAACCGTTCTATCCAACTCTAGCTTCCTTCTTATCTTCTTTCACAGCTAATCGTCGTACGTCTGTCTCTTTGTCGTTCTGTCGTTCAAAGGACAATGCGTTCGAAGAACGATCTCGCGAACGATTCTCCCACGTTAATTCCTGCCCGATTAGCAGACTGGCGGATTTAATCGGTTTACCGGGGACTCGAGATACGTTGCTGGAGCTTCTTTGGTCATTTGAAAAGAACTGCTTTCCAAGAAGTTTTGAAGATTCTCGCTGTTTGTTTTTTATACACAGACGAAGTTAAGGGATGTTGCTCGTTTGGATTAATAAGAGGATTCAGAAATTTCTGTAAATAGAACTGTGAGTATGAAAATGAGCAAAGAATATCAAGCATCGTTGATTCTAACAAAATGGTTATGCAATTTGATTATCTTTTTATCAAGATACACGGCATTGATCCAACAGAGAAAGCTATTCAAATGTCCATAGAAACTGATACTAAAAACAGCGAACCGTATAATCGGAAACGTGTAGCAAGTGTCGCGAATGCAAAAATGACCGGCACGCGACTCTGTCCGAACACGCGAGAGAGGTGTCTGCTTCGCAAAACTGCATTCCATTTTCTACGAGTGGCCAGTCGACCAGTTGGCTAACAATGTGCATGCTCCAGTGATTTCGCTCGTTCGTATTTTTCTGACCAGATGGAAAATGGCTCGGTGTCCATTGAAGTGAACGTAAGGGTCCGTTCGTGAGCGCGAGCGTGCACGCGAGGCGGAAAGGTCACGGCGCGCGATACTTCGCGCTCGGGCCGCGAGAATCGACGTTATATCGATCGAAGAGCACAGTGAACGGGAAACGAAGGAATTTTCCTTGGTGTGGTATTAAAAGGTACCCGATCGTATGATTTATACAATAGCTTTGCTCGACACGAATCGCTTCGATGATTCACAGACAACGAATCTATATCGATGAAATACTAAAGGAACTACAGATTTCGAAAGATCGGAAACTTTATGGAAACAAAGAGACGCATGAAAAATTAATTAATGCATCTGCATTTTTATCTACTCTGAAGGCGTTTAAATTGAAAGTATATGGTATGCATAATGATCGTATATGCAGATACGATGTTAGCAACGAACATGTTAAACGAGTTTAATATTAAGGCGGCAGGAATAAAAATTATACATCGATAATGAGGCATAAAGAACTAGATTAAGATCGAGTTTTCTAGAAGTTACAATTGCTCAATAATCCAGCGAGAAAAGTGGAAAAATAATTAAAAGTCGGATTGAGAAATTCAATTTAGCGAATGACCGGTGAACAACTGATCGTATATACTGTCCCCAGAGTTGGCTGTTCAAAGATTAATCGAATAAAAATTATTCGATTAATGCCCAACTCTGACTGTCCGTCTGTCCAGCCGATTGTCCGATAGAGTATTGGTAGAGTCATAGTTAGAAATATCAAAGAATAGATAGCAGTAAGTGTTTTCTTCTTACCAACTTGAACATGTTGAGAGTGGGTTGTGGGTTGCTTGTTTACTTCACGAAAGTAAGAAAGCTTATGCTGAATGTATCAGCCGACGATCCTTTTATACAAAAGTCCATTTCAAAAAATCCCTGTAAATTTGATCACGTGGCCCGCCGTTCGACAGTCTGACGTTATATGTCGGCCGGTTGAGTCAGCCGATCTATGAACAGAGTGGGGTGCGGTTCACCCAATGCTCGTTCGTTATCGAGTCGAAACGACGTGTTGCTGACCAATCGCGTGCTTTCAACCCCTCGCGATCAGATCCGTGGAATTGGGTTAAGACACTTTATGTGGAAACAGTTCAATTGCCTGCATACGGTACACGTTACCTGCTCTGGGTGTGGGTGATACGTACACAAACACACGTCCAGTCTGACCGGGGTAAGTACGCGATCCAAGTATGAAACCTAACGGGCAACGAGACACGCGCTCTAAATGCAAACTCATTTCGTAAAAACGCAGCCAAGGTCTTCGTTGATCTCTTCTTGAGGAGACGCGATGATGTCTTTTCGGTAAAGACAAGGAAGATTCTGAGGATATCGTTTAAATAGAATTTGAAATCTTGCTGAGAGAACCGTACATGAACATCCTCTGGTTTGATTGTTCAAAGGATTCATTCTCTTCGTGACGGAACCAGGAAGAAACTGTGGAGAACCAGCCCTGGAACGCGACCACCGAAACCCGATGCCTTAACCGATCGATGTAACAACCGGGGTGAAAATGCGGTTATAATCGGATTTCGCGTAACACTTGTAACCACCTGAGAGAAATGATTCAATGTAATTCGAGGAGAAAGGTATTGGGTTTCTTTTGATCATAATTGCTTAGTCGGTTGCTCACCGAGGGTGTTCTCAGAGATTTTTTATTTTGAAAAAAGAACTGTGAACAACATTGTATTATTAATTGAAATTGTTGGTTATAATGTACGAGCAGTTAAGAAATGACAAACAACGATAGCAATGGATATGCGATAGTATAAACGAATAGAAGGTACTTAGGCGAAGAAAATCTTTGCATTTCTAAATGCGAGACTAAGAAACTTAGTTACATGGGATTGCTTAATCAGCAGTGTGTCGATTTGAAAAAATCAATCATTCACGGTCACGTTTTAACCGCAAAGTGACTTAATTTGAAACGTGACGTAAATTCTATTCGCTATAATGCGTAAAACATAACTTGATACAAGGTCTAACGTGAGCTAAAGGAAAGTACTTCCCACTTGAATCTACTACTTCTGGTGAAACGCTTTGTGTTGAAGGATCGATGAATAGGATACTAATGATAATCCAAGTTACTTTGATTCTTCAATTAGCAGAAATTGTTAATAATATTAGTTGAAATTATAAGCAATATTCGTCCTGTCGGTTCCTTAAAAAATCTATGAAACTTTCTCAAAGGCACTATTCCGAATGAACTTTATCCCTCTCGTGTGTCAAGCTTGTGTAATAACTTGTCTGAAACTTGTCTCTAGGGTGGATTCGTAGAAGGAAACCGCGATGCTTTAGTGGATTTACGTCGGTCTATAGGTCAGCAACAACTTAGGTTTCAAGGTGTTCGCAAACAGCTGAGAATAACCAGGAAGATGTATGTATTTTCGGATAGCTGGTAGCTCGATGTAAAGAAAGAAGAAAGAGTAATGCATCTTAGGTCGGGGGTTGATCGGAAGGTAAGACAATTCCTAGTCACCAACAATTCCTTTCGCCAGGCAATTTCAGGGAGATCGATCGCTTCCGAGGGATTTCATAAAACTATTTCAGGCCACGACATCACCAGCCGGTCAATCTAACGTGAAATTGATAGGAAATCATTTATCGATCATATTCAGTCGCATCACGGTCTTCTTAGTGATTCTATACGTGCTAGCTTATGTAGATGCGACATATTTTGAATGGTTATCTGAAGCTTCTGTTATTCCTCGATTTATCTTCTTTCATATTAATATCTTATCTGAATTGTACATTTTTTAGTGATGAGAAATTGGGAGTTGATATGATTTTTAATAAAGTTAGTACTGGGATATTTTTAACACAGCTATGGTATTATTACCATGTTAGTTTTCGTAGATAGTTCCTTATAGAAATAAATTTAATCACAAGATAATACCCTTCTCAATGGGGATATATTCCTGCCTATACAGCAACGGTATTACGACTGCAGTGTCACACCATCAGGAATTGATTTTATTTTTAACAAACCTAATCTGTTATTCTAATAACACTATATGACATCATAGAAGAATTTCCAAAAATTTGGAAATGGAGCCCTCTAATATAGGATCTAGAAATCCACCACTGCCTGCATTTTATAAAAATAACTGACTCGGGAAAGAGGCAATAACACGAGCACTACCCTCGCAATATATCACCGTCGAAAGATCTTGCGAAAAGAAAAAGTGAAACTCGCCCTGGTTATTGGCACCCGTTACGCATACATTATTTTTATTGCGACAAACAACAATTTCGAGAAACTTGACACGCTTCGATTCGTTTTACCTCCTTCGCGAAATTTTTTACCCGCATTTTGAATTTTCAAAAGAACCATCGGTCAATTTCTAGAATTCGTGAACCATAGCAAAGACCACAGAAAAAGAATTTCTTTTTGTTCATTTGCCACTCATGGATCATGTATTTTGTAAGAAATTAAATGTAGAGACAACGAGCTACAAAAGAAGACTAAACTATTGTTCCGTCGATGTTATTTTACCGAATTCTTCATTTTTCTAATTTTCTGCAGATAAAAGGTGCAGTTTTTATTATGCAAAAGGTGACGTTCTTATTATCATGTTAATAGGAACAATGTAAAAATGCAGAAACGAGCCGCATAACTGCACGTAACGTGACTTGTAATTGTTACATTGGCGAGCACATCGTTATGTAGATCAGAAATAAATGTGTCAGGGAAGAATATGCGTTAATGACGTGTCGCAAACGGCTCTTTGATTTCACAAGACACGGTTTCACATTTTCTTCGCAGTTGTTTGTGCACCTCTCGATAACGAACTGTTTTGAACAATAAAAGTCAATAATTAAACATTCTGTGATAAGTGCGACCGGAAAACTTTCGTTCACCGTTGAAACATCAAATGAAATATTGCCAAATGTTTCATTGAATAATCTAAGCAATAAATTAGGGAATTTCTAGGGAATGTTTATGTTTTGGATAAATTTCTTCTGATTTTGGCACGAACAGCGAAGGGTTGAATAAAGGGCGTTTATGATTTATTGTATTGAGGTAAGAGGGGTGCGAATAACAATAAGGACTGTTTACAATATACTACAATTTACGTGTTTTGAAAAAATTACTTCGATTTAAAATATTTCTAATTTCATCTTTTTGTTACACTCAAAGTCATTGATAATCGTATTGGATAAATACCTTGCCCCTGATAGTAAACAATAAAAATTAGAATGAAAGTAACAATTTACTAGTTTTGACTCGGGAGTAATCGTCTACTGACATGTATTAATGTATTTTTCGAAAGGTTTAGTTCAGATATACATACCTGTCCAAGGAAACCGCAACAAGGCTGTAGACAGAAGCCGCCACGGAAACGCCCTGTATATAAGCTACTGCTTTACACATAAACCATCCCAGGAACCATGCTGAAACACAAGTACACGATTAGTTGTTTGAAGTCAACTAACAATAGGAAACTGCTGCTTCCATTGCAAATTAATTATACTTTTTCATTTTTTGATTTTGCAGAAAAGTAGGCCTGATAAGAATGTAAAAGCGATTTTGTTTTTGTAAAATGCTTGCAATTATCTATGAAAAATTCTATGCGTTAATTAAAAATAACAAGTTGTCTCAAGAATTTTGAGTGGTAGTGTACGTTAGCGTTGATACACATATGCCGTTCAACTCCTATTATCTGAGAAAACTGGTTTTAAGGACGTCAATTCAAAGAAGCAGTTAAAACAGTTGCATAATAATGAACAGAACGGGCTATATAATACGGTGCAGTACAGTGACTGCACAGTCTTTTCGAAGCTTTCGTTGCTTACTGCTCGTTTCATTATAGCCGCTTGAAAAGAGACGACTTTCGCTAGTAAAGCTTCCTCACAAAGAAATCTGATTAAAAATTTGATTGTCACCCGTACAATTCCGCAAGACTGATTAACAATCATTTCTATGGTTTTGTATTTTATACCTCCATAATAACTTACGTGTCTCTCGTTAATGACTTGATTTTTGAAACGTAAATATAATTGAAAAATCATTTTAAAATTTCGAATAAGATTTGAATAAGAAATACTTCAAATTTAAGATAATATCCATGTACAGTAATTACATTTATCTATTATAATTCCGATGTTTCATTATTATAGAGTTATCATTATATGTAATAGAGTAATATTCTGCACTTGAAGTTAATTGGTGAATTTTACGGTCTACCTATTCCATCGGTATTCCATTTTTTATTTAAAATCATTCAATTCAGTGTTATTTTATTTAGAGAAGACTGATACGTTCAAAGTAGGAGAAGATTAAACTGACCCAGTTAATAATAAAAATTATTATTAAATTATTATTTTATTAAATAATAAAAATTAGTTAATAAACAGTAATTTCCCGAAGTCTTGTTTCATTGGTATACGAATACTTTCTGCACCCACTGTATAAAAAACAGGTTTCCCGTATATTTCCCGATTGTGTGGCCTTTAGCACCAACCGGTACCGAAAGTATTGTGCACAAAGTGAAGGGTACGCACGAGGCCGCATACAGAAAGGAACTTCCGGTGGTCCGTAGATCAAGCGTTGCACGGTACAATTATTTAGTCCACCCAATACTTAAAAAAGCGAAACTCGCTGTCCAAACTGATAAGCAATCAGCCTAAAAATCCACTTTATGATTGGGATAAATATTAGAAACACATCTGATAAGATAATTCTTTTTAGAGTAGGATATTTTCTGAAAGTTGGGTTTATTTTATATACCATGCAAATTTTATACTAATTTCTTGAATTTTTGTAATTACTACGGTTCTTATTCAGAATCGATTTCATGAACTATGTGCTCATGTGAAGCATCTAACCCTTACTTCACGAATTCTGAATTTATCGCATTAATTTTGAACCTAAAACGATGGAAAAGAATTTTCATTTATTTACGAAATCCCGATATCGACAGATTCGAATGCACATCGAAGACGTTGTCGCAGATATTCATTCAGTATGGGCGAACATATCAATCCGCGGGGAAGAGATCGAATAAAAACGAAGTCTATCTCGCCGAAAAACTTTCCGTGCAATCCATCGAAATTCGGGGCTTGCTTGCAATCAACCGTGTTTCCAGAATGTGACGTCCCCAAACTTTTCCATTGAATAAATCTACTGCTTGTATGATCACAGATGATGGCAGACTGGACATAGCGTGGCTAGTTTCGACAGCTTCGAAGGACATTGTTTTCCTCGTATTCATAAACGTATGTATATCCATTTCGAAGAAAATGAAACGGTGAACCATATGTAATTATCAAAACGAGCAGTGATGCAAATCCTTTTTTGACAGTCTGAAACATTAACTCTGTCGTATGTCATTCTCATTTTACATTTTTCTTTCGGTTACCCCGAAATTTATAGACGTTAAATTGAGAACCGTGTATTCGATAAGGGGTATAATTTACAGCCGGCTAATTTGCTTGTTCGCGCGTAAAAATAGCTGCCGTTGATTTTTCCACATTCCTTGGACGATTAACGCGAGATAATATCGGTCATTAACGTTAAATGCCGTGGTTAAAAGCGTACAGAGCCGAGCATGTCAGTTTTCGAGAGATACAATCACATAGTGGTTGTTACGACACGCGTCTTAATCTTTCCACAGCACCGTTCGTTTTGTATGGAATTGCGTAACAATTTCGAAAGATTTTAAAAGATAATCAATATTTGTAATAAGTGCAAGATACATTTTATATTGTGAAGTTTAAAAGTGAAAATTATAACGTGTCAAGTTAGGAATAACAATTAAAAATGTTACTTCGAAGATTAATTTTAAGTAAAAGTAATCCAGCGATATTGGGAAATCCTGTACCAATGACATTCGCAATTTTTAATCAACCAACTGCACGTTTCGAGTTCGAACATACATGGGATTCTGATTACAATGCTAAGCGGATAATGCTACCTATACATTATCGCATTCCCTCTGCCCTTCGTTTTCAGTTCACGCCCTCCAAAATCTCCAATTATACGAGCTACCAATCGGGCGGAAAATCAGAACGATTAGAGCGTTAACCTTTATCGAAACACCGGGACCAATCGTTGACAAATCATTTACAATTTGTCAACTCAATTTTCAACCCTTACACAATCTACCTTCTAGAAAACGAACAAAACTTCCCCTTCTTTCTCTATAAGATTGCATTATTCTACCTTTCGAATTATCACTGGAACGCCTTGTATTTATTCAAATTTTAATACAGCCACTGCTGAAAGAGCAAAGTTTCGCTCGCCGACAAATGTCAAAATTTTCCGATCACCGACCATGTTTCCACGTTTCGCCCATTTTACTTTCACCGTCTACGCTCCGTTGACGGCAATCAAGTAACGCGTTCACGCACAGCGAATAAAGGAAAATGCCGGGAATGACTCGTGAACCGTTCGAAACGCTTTAATTGCGAGCCTGTTACCAGATAATTGAGACAAATCGTTGTCGAACTTTATGATCGAGACGAACGGCTGTCAATTTCCACGGGGAACTTAATGGTCGAGTTTCGAGGAGCTGCAGGCTAGTTCTTGATCGTGATTACAGAGGACCTTTAGGGAGTTTTCGTGTCAACCTTGACCATTTAGCGAAGTTGCTCGAGAGGTCTCGTTAGCTGGCTGCAAAGTGCTCGATCAATTCTAATTGTAACGTTTAAGCATCCTGTTTCTATTTATCTTTCTCGATGCAACTCTCTGTTACGAGATGCTTCAGGGAAATTGATTGTCGTCCTGGATCATTTTACCTGGCCTTAGTTATATAAATGTGCGTTGTTCTACGAGCGGTTATGTAACGGGCATTCAAGAAAAATATGCGGAACAGAGTCGGTTACAGTGATATGTGATACGTGTATGGAGATTTTAGTGCTCCTTGCGAAAGTCAGTCGGATTTGAATCGTAAACGACAGTCGGCTGTAAAGTTAAGTGGATGACGGTGAAGTTGATCGATACGGTTTTATCGTGGCTAACATTCGCGTGCGTTAATATTGAAGAGTGCAGTAATTAACGAGTATCACTAAAATAATTGCTTGTGTCATTCTAGAGTCATTAAACCGAGAAATATTCATAACATGTATCTGGTCATCTGAGATGGATTTTAAGTGCAGTCATTATCGAGCAAATATTTAACAACAGAAACTGCTAGCAGCAAATTATTTTAATTAAACATTTCTTTTTCAATGGGATCGGAATTTGTTCTCCGAGTGTTGGTTTCTAAGCAAATCAAATTTTATTGGTAAACATCGACTGCTTTCGTAACGTTTCGAATTAATTACAGAGGAAACTTTGATACGATCAATCGAGTTCAAACGAAACGTTGATTATCGAAATTGTATAAATTCTTTGCCGCTGTAATTACGCACAAATGAAAACGTGCAATCACGTTGATACGTATTTCGTTCCCACTGTCACGATTATTGATTGCAAATTACCCCTTTCTGGATTACTGATTCGATTAAACGCTGTTAATTGCTTTCACTTTATTGTACGATTTTAAATGGATTTAGGATATTGCCACCTACGTTTCAAGGTACCTCGTTTGAATATTCATTTCATTCTTTGACACTGTTTCAAGGACGAAGAATAAAAGAAATTCTCAGTCGTAAAGGACAATATTGTGGCACAGATGAATCGTCTACTTTGTATACGGTGACAAGATTTCAAGCTTGATTAATCTCGACAAAAATTTCTAATAAAGTGAAAGAAAATGTTGTATAGAAGTGCAACATTCATCTAGTTGCGTCAAGGTTGTATCCTTTTTCTTGACAAGAAAACCTCTTTCCATAGCGAAAGTTATTACAGCACTGAATTGATCTTCAGAGTGCAAGAGTGTAAAATGATAGATAGTGCTAATTATAAGGTTTAAACAACTCAATCAATATCAAATTATAAACACATTAGGAATATCCAGCACAAAAACAGCTTTCCAAGTGAACTCGCGCGTGGGTTAAAGTGAAATCGACCCAGCTAGTCGACTAACAAACAAAAGAGGTTTAAGCTAAATCATGTTCCGTTTCATTCATTTTTTTTTTTGTTTTTTTTACCGTGTATTCTATTTCAATCCTTTCGTTTCTGGATTAAGAAAACCCTCTGCGTTTTATGAAAAAAAGGACGAAGGAAATAATTTGCAGAGAATTTTCTGGGAATCGATTTTGATAAGGTTTTGAACAAACGATTAAATAACAAATCGAAAGATTTTTTAGCGAGAATGTACATTCACGACTTGACCCGGCAACGATTGAAGTGTTCCTCGAGAGGACAGGAAAATGAACGCGCAGTCGTCGTTTCTCGCTGTTAAATTGAAATTCAAACTAGCCGCCAGTTTGAACCCTTCAGAAGTCCCGGTCAAGTAGCTTTCGATCTCTGCGAGAAAGAAAAAGTGCTTTCGTCGAGGATCGTTCCA